AAATTAGAGTTCTTATTTTGCTTATAAAGTGAAAGTAAATCAAATGGTAAAGATGAAATTTGAGGTAATATTCTGGCAACACATTGAAGAGTTTTCATCTTTAAAATGCAATGCATTACAAAAAGTACAAACAAACGATAAACTACTAATATTAAAATTTATAATGTTAAAATCATTATAAATGCTATAGTTTGCTAGTGTTATTCATGGGTGGGAGTGGTGGATCTAATATTGTTTGATATATGTAATCGTTATAATGACATGCATGAAAGGTTCCAGATGCTTCTGACTGTCCAACTGATTGGTGTATATAGTCATTATCATGATTAATATTTTGGTGTATAGAATCATTATTATGATTATTTTGAACAGCTATAGTATGTGTATCATGATCAATCATAGTTTCAGAGGCATCTAAATCTCCATTAGATTGTTTATTATGTCGTATGGCTCTCAAAAGATGGCAGAGGCAAGGCATTTTCAGTCAATTTGATTATAGATTTGAAGCTTTATATATATATATATATATATATATATATATATATATATATATATATATATATATATATATATATATATTAATTGAGTTTGTATAGAAGTTTATGCAGTTGGATATATATAAAATTCACAACTATGTAATGATCTGAAAGGAAAATATTAGGCTTTTGTGAAGCACACTCAAGAACAACAAAATAACTCCAATATTGTGTTTACCAATCTCTGCCTCATAATCCACAGCTTTGCAATTTTGAGCTGCTGCCCCAAGTGTTGCTCCTATGCTAGCATCAGGTTACCTGGCACAGCATCCCAGACACCTGAGAAAGCCCATAAGCATGCATTGTTGAAACCGGCCCTCAGAATCTCGGAAACTGGAACTAAATTTTAGATTTGACAGAAGCAATATTGGACGGAAAAAAAATCTCATCATAGAATACAAAGATATTCAAACTTACAACTTACCTCGATCTAAAAACAAAGCTAAACCAGGCAATGCTTGCAATGGCACCTTTTCCTTCTCCTTCTCTTTCGAGAGAACTTGGACATCAGTGCTGTGTCGGGTTTCCAAAACTTCAGGAGCAGCGTTGGCTGGCGCAGCCACTCAACAGCCCTACATCAACTCGAAACACCTAGTTCCTACAAATGGAGTTGATCCCGAGCATGTGCTAAAACAACAATCCCTCACTAGGCCCAGCAGCAAGGGATTCCTCAAGAGAATCTGGGGATGAAGAGGGAGTGTCCTTGATAATTGCTTTCCTATAGGCCAAAGCTATAGAGCTCTTGAGGCAGTGGCGAACACGGATCAAAGCTTTGTTGAGTTGGAGATGAGCCAATTTGCCTCTCATAGTCCTGAGTTGATCCCAAGAGGAACCTAGATTGTGTGCCCGCCTACCATTCTACTCGCCCTTGTTACCTCCTCTAGGAGCTTAGAGCGGGGTTCCATGCTCCACCCTAGGGGGAAAATTTCCAAGGGAAAATTTCCAGGGGGGAGAAATAAAACCTTGGGTTCCATGCCCCCCCCCCCCTTCTGGTGACATGGCACCAAAAATGGGGGGGAAGGGGGGAACCTGGTGTCCCCACCGTAAATTTCTCCTGAAGCTTGGAACCCAGTAAAATACTAAAATAAAATAATGCCATGTGGCTAAATTGCCATATCATCTAAAAATTTGACCTGCCCTAATTTTGCCACGTGTGAACATATGAGTTCTTGGAGGGTTTTGGGGGGGATTTTTGCAGTGATTTGAGAACGCAGTCTGTAGGAAATGGAGAATCGCTCACCCTCACCTCATCCATGGTCGTAATTTAGCTCTTATTCTAACTCATCAATAGCTCAAACTCATGTAAGTATGAAATTTTGTAGGTCTAGAATTTTGCTTGTTGTTTTTAATGTCCAGGGGAGAAGAAGGCTCTTCTTTTAGTGCTAGCATAGAATCTATGCCAAATGTAGTTATGATCCAGTACTTTTCATTTTCTCTTTGGTTTTTTTCCTTTGTTTATAAAATTTTGCAATGGTAGTTAGCCTAGCATTCCTTCATTTGTTGTTACCGGTTTACTATTTACATTCCAGCGCAAGCACCTAGCGGCGATACTGATAATTGCCAGCAGCACTTGAGCATCATCATAGCCTCTTTGGTTCTTCCTTGCAAGAGCCTGACGTAACCATCTCTAGAATAGGTAATAGTTTTTTTTGGTCCGTTTGTTGCTGCCGGTTTACTGTTTACATTCCATTGCGAGCACCTAGCCTCGATACTAATAATCGCCGGCAGCACTTGAGCATCGTCACGGCCTTATTGGTTCTTCCCTGTGAGAGCTTGACATAAACCCTCTCTAGAATAGGTAATAGTTTTTTTTTTGTTCGTTTGTTGCTGCCGATTTACTGTTTACATTCCAGCGTGAGCACCTAGCCTCGATACTGATAATCGGCGGCAGCGCTTGAGCATCATCACGGCCTCTTTGGTTCTTCCTTGCAAGACCTCAACGTAAACCATCTCTAGAATAGGTAACAGTTTTTTTTTGGTCCGTTTGTTGCTGCCGATTTACTGTTTACATTCTAGCACGAGCACTTAGCCTTGATACTAATAATTGCCAGCAGCATTTGAGCATCATCACAGCCTCTTTGGTTTGAAGGCCTCTACTCGAGATCAACATAAACCATTGCTAGAATAGGTAACAGTTTTTTTTGTTTACATTCCAGCGTGAGTAAAGAGCAACATGCAGCAAAGAGGATCAACACCAAAACATTTAGTTTTTGTCACTCTTAAGTAAATAAAGTATAATAGTATTGTCACTCTAAGCTCTCAATAAACCTTTCCACTGTATCTCTCAATGCTATGCCATCTTTAGCTGAACGAAGAGACCTTTGTGGAAGGTAGCTTGCATCATGGTTAAATTTGTCAGGGTCAAAATCTTCCATGAACCTATCATTCCGTGTGATTATTAAGTTATGTAGCACGAAACAAGCCATGATGTTATTCGCAAGGATGCTTAGATGACCTTTGAATCCTTTCCAAGCTAGCAATTTCCATTGCCTCTTTAAAATTCCAAAAGATCGCTCGACAACAATCCTCATAAAAGAATGAAAGAAATTGTACTGCTCTTTGGCATAAAACCTATTTGGATATGGGACCAAAACTGGTAAAGCACAGTTATATCCTCCATCAGTAATGATATACTATAGAATGTCCCCAAACTCTGTGTGGTACACTAGACCATATAAATGCTTCTTCTCAATCCAAGCCTTTTTCAAACCACTAGAATTCCAAATTCGTCTATCTAGAACACTACTTGCTATCCCTATTATTATGTCAAGAAATGAAGTCTTACTATCTACTATGGTTTGAACTACCATCGAGTAGTACTTTTTTGCCCCAACATACCAATCCATTGCATCCTTTGATCTTGAGAGCTTGATTGCAATGTGAGTGCAATCCATTGCACCACAACAGTTTGGGAATCCATGCAATATCTAAAATCCAATTATAACTTATTTCATTCCCTCCTCATCCGGCCAATGGATCATTAGTCCTTCATGCTCAAGCAATGCATACTTGAAATGGTGTAGACAGGCTTGGGCAGTGCATGAAGCCACTCCAAATGCATCACCAATTGTTCACCATATATCCCCATGCCAAACATTTCAAAGTAATAGCTACTTGCTTTGAAACAGGCAAGTGCCGCTCTGGTATTTCTACCAAACCTGGAGGAGGCCTCTTAACCAATTTTGGAGCAAGTTCATCACAAAGAAAAGTGAATATAGATATTAAAACCCGAAAAACTTCTCTAAATCTTTATGGATCTATATGGAGAACTTCAAACTTTGTTTGATACCACCAATGTAGACTTCTTGACTTGATGTAGTACACATTGATCGATAGCCCTTTTTAGTGATCACTCTCTCAACAAATGAAGATGTAGCAAGATATGGCATAAAAAGCACTATAGCAATCGCTTCCTCCACCATTCGAATGAACAAAAGTTTTCTTGAAACTGGAACTAAAATCATGTCCTCTTTCTCTAGAAAGAACAACTCTACCAAATTTAAATACTTCATCACAATCCTTACAACATGGGAAATGATTGCCAAGGAAGAATGCAAAGCAGCCATGGAGCCCTAAGAGTGCATGGCATAATAACTATCATCACACCCTCTTCCCTTCCCGGCCACACGTGCATCCCGCCCATTGGCTGCCACAACATTGAGCCGATATTCCTGCTAACCATGGCCACTGGCCTTAGCCTGGGGCTAGGGTGGCCTCCCTTTCTTGAGAACCATGGCTTCCGAGGCTGCCCCACGCCCATGATCGAACAGCTGTGGGGGTCTGGGCCCTTCATTCTTATTATTATAGATATTTATATATGAATGCTTTCATTTATTATTTCTTTGTTGCCATGTGGTATTAATCATCCACATATATTTCTTCTTAGGGATCTCAATCCCTCTACGGTTTGGAGTTGTAGGCATGCAAGATTCTAGCCCTTGTTTTTCATCTTCATCGCCACTTAGTCATAGTATAAGTGCTGGAGTTCCCTTGAATCTCATCTGTTCTATCAACGCTGCTGCAGTTTAGGAAACACCAAATTCCCAGTCCCCCACACTGGAATTCTCATCTCCTGAGTCAAGGCAGAGTTGCTTTCCCAACGGACACTTGTCTTGCCTTCCCAGCATGCACAAGCTCCTCAATCTCATCGTGGACTGTGGCCGAATTTCTCCCACTGGGACATTTGCTCATACTTCATCTGTCCAAGAACGATTGAGATTGAAGACACAGCCGCAACTTCTGGCGTAATGCATGACAAGTGTTCTCTTCCTCTTATGGCAAATGCTCCTCCATCACCTTCTCACATCGCTTCATCATCTTGTCAATCACCAAATCCCCCACCACACAATTCCATTCATGGATCAGCCCCTGCTGGTAGAGTGCGTGGTAATGGTGTTGGAGCTGGTGCAGAGCAGGATGTTGGTGAGAGTGCAAATCCTTCAATTCAAACGTCAGTATATGCACTCACGACCCAGTCTCCACCAGCTTCTCCTGAATTCTGGCACTTACAGAGGAATGACACTTGGCTTCACGACCTGTCTGGGCACCACTGTCAACGGCTACATGGTCCACTGTAGCACCAGTCACAGATATGTGCCTCTGGCAACTGCCCCAATAGAAACTACGCAGCCTACGTGATCCGTTGTTGATGGCCTCTACATCCCCTATGGCTGTGGCTACAACAAACTCACTCTTACCATGTCTCTCACACTGCCCTCAATTTCATATATGCCACCTTCTAGATGCTCTTCTCCAACAAAAACTAGCGCTCTACTTTTTGCTACAACACCTCATACTTTATCCATGTTGGCTCCTGTTTCATTAACCTTCTCAAATACACCACCCTTCCCCATGGCCTCCACTTTACCAGCACTTTTTTCATCAACAACTTCAACCCCACCACCTTTTTCATCATCACTCCATTGCCATACTAATAAATTTTTCAGTATAATATTATTATTTTTACTATACGATAGTTTGTTTTTATATGTATATATATAACAAGTGCTGGTGTAATACTTTATATGTTTATATACTAATGAAGAATGGGAAGTTACAAGAAAACGAACTGACAGTAACTAGCGGCATCGCTTCTATCGATCTCCAGCAAGCTCGAAGTAGCAAGCGCCCCTCTCGCCTTATCAGCATGGACACTGCAAGCACTGAGCAAGCTGACCCAAGCCACGGCATCCGCCTGGTATGGCATGCTTGTCACCAGCTCCAGCGCTCGATCCAATTGCCCCGCCCGCCCCAGCAAATCCACCAGGCACAAGAAATGCTCCAACACGGGCTCCACTCCAAAATCGCCCACCATAGATCGAAACAGCTCCACTCCCTCGCGCAGCATCCCTCCATGGCTGCACGCTGCCAGCAAGCTCACGAAAGTGCTACTGGCGTCCACCTCGATCCCCTGGAGCTGCATCCTCTGGAGCAGCCACAGCGCCGCACCCCCAATCCCGTTCTGTCCCAGCGCGCAGATCGCCGCGCTCCACACCGAGCGCCCCAGCGATCGCGTCTGATCCAGCACCGCGACCGCCTCGTCCACGCTGCCGCACCGCCCATACATCTCAATCAAACTCGCCGCCACGAGATCGCAGGCATCAAAGCCGCGCTTGGCAATCCTGGCGTGGATCTCGCGCCCCTCCGCGAGAGCTCCAAGCTTCCCGCAGGACTCCAGCACCGCCATGTAGCTGTGCTCGTTAGGGACCAGCCCGGAGCTCGGTGACTCCATCGCACCGAAGACACGCAGAGCCTCGCGGCGCTCGTCCTCGTCCTCGCTCCGGGAGAAGGCCGTCATGAGGGAGTTCCATGCCACCATGTCCTTGACGGGCATACTGTGGAAGAGCCGCTGTGCCTCGCGGACATGCCCGCTCTGGGCATATGCTAGAACCATGCTGCCCCACGTCGCCGGGCTCCTATCCATCATCCCGTTAAAAATCCGCCTCGCATCTTCAAGATTCCCGCTCTCTGCGTACGCGACGATCATCGCGTTGCACGACGAGACGCTCTTCACGCCCAGCGCCGCGAAGAGCTCCTCGGCCTCGCGGATCCGGCCGTTGTGTCCCAGCGCAGAGATCATCGCGTTCCAGGAGATTGGGTCGTGCTGCGGCATCCTGGCAAAGATCGCCCTCGCGTCGTCCAGGTGCCGGCTCTGCGAGCACGACGAGAGGATCGTCGTCCACGACACGACGCAGCGCCCGCCGGGCATCGCGAAGAAGAGATCGAACGCGTGCTGCGAATGCCCGGCCTCGGCAAATGCTGCGATCATCAGGTTCCACGATGTGGTGTCGTGGACTGGCATCTGATCGAACGCCGACTGGACCTCGCGGAGATTTCTCCCGCGGGAGTACGCGGAGATGAGAGTGTTTCCCGAGATCACGCACCAGTGAGGCATCCGATCGAAGAACTGGCGCGCCAAGACGATTTGCCCGTTCTGGGAGTATGCCGTGATCATCGCGGTCCAGGAGATGATGGTTCTCTCCTCCATGAGATCAAACACGGCTCTAGCGCCTTCCAGATTGCCACACTTTCCGTGGAGATTGATGAGCGCGGTGGCGACCATGCACTCGCGCTCCAGCCCACTCTCGGCGATCTGGGCGTGGATCATCCGGCCAAACTGGAGCGCGGTCAGCTCGCAGCAAGCGCCCAGCGCATTCACGAATGTGCTCCGATCGGGGCGGCATCCGTCGTGATTCATGAGCCGGAAGAGATGGAGCGCCGCCTCGAACTGGGCGCTCTGGGCGTAGGCCGAGATCATCGCGTTCCACGACACGGAGCTCCTGTCCACCATGGAATCGAAGAGAGCCCGCGATTCCTGGAGGTGGCCGTTCTGCGCGAGCGCCACCAGCATGATCGTGTCGGTGTAGACGTTCCTGACGGCGGCGGCATCGATGCTCTTGAAGACCGCGCGGGCATCGTCGACGCAGCCGCAGCTCCCATACATCTGGATGATCGAATTCGCGACGAGGATATCGCGATCGAAGCCGTGCTTGACGATGTGGGCGTGGACGCGGCGGCCCTCGGCGATGGCGCCGGCGTCGCCGCATCGCCGCAGCAGCGATGCGTAGACGGAGGCATCGGCCAGAGGCGTCGCCGCCGGAGGAGGAGCTGGAGATTGATGATGATCTTGCGCCTCTGCCTCGGCGATCATCATCCTCTGTGGAGAGAGCCGCCATTTCTTCCGCAAGCTCAAGCGCATAAACCCTAGATCCTCCCATTTCTTTCTTCTTCTTGTTCTATGATCGAGATCTTCCTCTCGTTTGCGTGATCTATGATCCCATCTCCAGCGGCATTGGATAGTCCCAGTCGCTGGCAAGATCTGGCAAAAGAAATCGTGAGTAGCAGTGCCAAGAGATCAAGAAACCCGGATTTCCCTCACAAGGTTCTCCGGGGCCAAGACTACTACGAGCAACTCATCCGCGAGTGTGGAGATTTGCGCGATTTGCAGCGAGCCCGGCGAATCGATGCGGCGATCCAATCCAGCTCCTATCGAGAGAACCGATACCTCAAGAATCTCCTCGTGAAAATGTATGGGCAATGCCATAGTTGCGAGGACGCGCTCAAGACGTTCCACTCCATTGGCGAGCCCAACGTATATTCCTGGAACATTCTCCTCGTGGCATATACCGAGAGTGGGCATCTTGTGGAAGCCCAGCGCGTGTTTGATGCCATTCCTTGCAAGAATGCCGTCTCTTTCAACGTAATGTTCCAAGCATATGCCCAGTCTGGGAATCTTGGGGCCGCGAAGAAATACTTTGACCGCATTTTGGGCTTTGACGTGGTTTCCTGGAACACGATGATTGCAGCGTTTGCTAGATCAGGGCATTTTTTCGAAGCAAAGTCCATGTTTGATCGAACGGACGTGCGCGATGTTGTAACGTGGACGGTCATGATCGGAGCATACTCCGCGAATGGTTGTCTCTTACACTCAAAGACTCTCTTTTTCTCTATGCCGTTTCGAAACATTATCACTTGGAACACCATGCTACAAGCGTTTGCCCAAAACGGGCATCTAGATGATTCCAAGGATCTGTTTGATTCGATGCCAGAAAGAGATACCACGTCTTGGAATCTCATGCTTCAGGCATTTGCGGATGAAGGCAGCTTACAGCAAGCGAGAGATGTTCTGCAGAATATGCCTCAACCAGATGTAGTGTCATGGAATATTATGCTTGGAGCCTACTGCCAAAATGGCTACGTAGAAGAATGCAAGAGAGCTTTCGATGAGATGCCCAACCCAAGCATCGTTTCAAGGACCACTCTTTTGACAGTATATGCTAACGAAGGATTTCTAGAAGAAGCAAGGGCCCTCTTTCTCAAGTTTCCAGATCTTAATGTTGTGTCTTGCACAGCTATGGTGAGAGCCTACGCTCTCAAGGGCAAGATCGAGGAAGCAAAATGGACATTCGACCAGATTCTGGAGCCAGACATTGTTGCAAAAACTACATTGATGCAGGCATATTCTCAAGCCGGGTATCTCTCTTTGGCTTTAGAAATGTTTGAGGATATCGTCAGCCGTGACACGATTGCATGGAATGCTATAATCGCAGCTCTCGTTGAGAATGGCCATATCAACGATGCAATACGAATGTTTAAAAAAATGCCAGCAAAAGATTCTTCGTCCTGGGCCACCATGTTTACCGCATATGCTCAGTGCGGAAATCTTGATGCTGCGAGTTTCTTGTTTGAGATTATGCCCTGCCGTGACTCATCCTCATTCAACGCTATGATTTCCACGTACTCGGGGTTTGGGTACGCAAACGACGCGCTCTCCTTGTTTAGATTTTCGGATCTCCAGGGCGCTGTTGTGGATGACACGAGCTACATGAGAATCCTCCACTCGTTCGCTCACAAGGGCAAGGTGGCGAGCAGTAGAAGTTGCTTTGCATCCATTAAGATCGACCGTGGGATCAACCCAACGCTCCAGCACTATTGCTGCATTGTGGATGCGCTAGGCCGGGCTGGCCAGCTGGATGCTGCCGAGGAGCTCGTGGATTCCATGCCCTTCGAGGCTGAAGCAATTGCATGGGGTACACTCTTGGGCGCTTGTAAACTCCATGGCGACGCTTTCAGGGCTGCCCGAGCTTCGCAAAAGGTGGTGGAGCTCAATCCGCACAACACTGCTGCCTACAAACTCTTGGCTAACATGCACAAATAGCATTGAAATGCCATGAATTTCATGGAGGAGGGTGTTGTACAGACTGAGGTTACTCCATAGCATTCTTTTGTGGATAAGTTTACACTCGTTCTTGCACTTGCATTCAATCGAGAGGCTGTGATTGTCCAGATTCACCTTATTAAAAGGCTGCTAATTCAGTATAACATTTGTACAAGAGTTCTTTCACTAATGTTTCTTTGGCACCAAACATCTTGGCGCAAGCATCCACGGAATCACAAAACCCATGCTCATCCTCCATGTCTATTGAGAGGTAAAGACCTTGGACAATTCTAAACTCTGTGCTGGATCCAAACCCGGGATCTAGCTTCTCGTACTCGTGCTTCACCACTCTATCGAGATCCCCGTACCGCGCATCTAAAACGCGGCAAACGGCAGCCTTGAACAGCGACGATCTCACATTCACCTTGGAGGGCGTTGGGGTGCTACGCGCAATAGCTTCAAACATCTGGGTCGCCTCGCCAAACTTCGCAATGACCACGGCCAGGTTGGCGGCCCGGATCTGGCACCGCAGTGACTCCTTGAGATTGGTATTCCCGAAAAGGACGGAGGCCTCCTTGAACGCCTCAAGCGCCCGCTCGTTGCTCTCCAGCTCTCCAATGTTCTTTGAGCAGATCGCTGCCAGGAGATGGCAAGAAGGTCCCAGTTTTTTCCACGCAACCTTCGCGAGGTGCCACGCCGCGACCGCTTTGTCCGTGGAGCCGTCTCGCCGAAAACACTCAGCTGCTTTGGTGTAGGAAATCGCCGACTCGGAGATATTGTTCTTGGATTGGCTGTCAATGCCTTGCTTCATGTGAATCTCTGCTGCCTCGGACCATCGCTTCTCCTCTTCTAGCTTTTTAACCGGATTGCTCCACAAGAACGCCATGAAAACCCTAGAGAAGACTTCATACTTATAGTGATGCAAAAAGGCGATTTATTGGTTTAACTTATTAATCACCTTTATCTTTTGATTAAACGCTTACTTTAAAGAGCTTGCGATGTCTATGACGAAACGAAACGTAACGTCGCTTTTGATCATCCTTTGTATGGCAGTGTTTGCGTAGTCGATGGGAACTATCTCGATGTTGGGGAGGATTTTCTTATCGGCACAAAATTGGAGCATCTCTTCGATCTCTTTGCATCCGCCGGTTGAGCTCCCGGAGATCGATCTCATGGCTATGAAACACAATCTATAGAATGAGCCAAACAAGAAAAAAGTACGAAAGAAAACTTACGCAACATCAAGTGTGGAGCAAATTCATGACTCGGTGGAACGCCCACCATGACTAAGTGCCCTCCCGTCTTTAGAAGCGGGAGATACAAGTTTAGATCGTGTTTCCCTGCCGCTGTGTCGATGATCCAATCTATGGATTTTTCTGCGGCCTGTCATGATGAACAAACAAAGAATGACGTCTCGAGCCAGAGGAAAAGTATCTTAAACACGAACTTACATGCAACGCCTGTGGATCTTTTGTGACGAGAAACTCGTCAGCCCCAAGGAGAGTGAGAGCGTCCTCTTTCTTGCCCGGCGATGTGCTGAGCACCGTCACCTTGTGGCCGAAAGCTTTGCCAAACTTGACGGCCATATGACCCAAACCACCCAGCCCGATCACTCCTAGGTGTTTCCCTGTCTGGGAGATCATACCATAGCGTTTCATTGGGCTATAGACCGTGATCCCAGCACACAATAGTGGAGCGGCATCGCTGGACGAGAGCTTGTCCGGAATTTGGAAAGCATACCTGCGAGACAACAGAAGGTTCGATAAAAAACTCGAAAAAAACTTTGAAGTTTCTTACCTTGAGTGGACAACCATTTTGTTGGAGAAGCCTCCTTTGGTGATGGTTCCATCGATGTCTTCGTAGTTGTACGTGAGGAGCGATTTGTGGCAGTAGTTCTCCATTCCATTATCGCAGTCGTCGCAAGAGCCACAGGAGCGGCAGTAAGCTCCGACGCCAGCGCGGTCGCCAACCTTGAAGCGTGTCACATTGGAGCCCACCTCTGCCACTACGCCTACAATCTCGTGTCTAGATGGAATCAAAGCCGTGAGGAAAAAAATGAAAAAGTCAACTAGGAGAGAAACCAAGAACAAAAATAAGAACAGAAGAAAAACTGAGGGAGAGATCATGCTGGGCTCAAAAGAAAAGAAAGGGGATCCAGGAAACCAGATAATTGAAGAACGAATTGGGGAGTTCTCTCTCGCTTACCCAGGAACGATGGGATATTTGGTGTCGCCATGCTTGTTGAAAAGCCACACGGCTTCGGCGTAACAGATCCCGCAGTGGGTGATTTTGAAACAAATGTCATCGTCTCCTATCGCTCTGGAGCAAGGAAGAAAAAGGCAGAAAAATATCTTTGTAGCAATCCAGAATAATTCTCACTATACCTCCTAGAGAACTCGTGGCGCGAGAGAACTCCAGATTGATCCCGAGCTGCCCAACCCACGCATTCCACACCCGTCGCCATCGTTGGACTCTATAGAAAAAGTGGTGCTTAGTTCGAATCCCAGTCTTAAACCTATGGAGTCTAGGGCTGCAAGGAACGAAGAATAAACAATTCCTTGGCACATATAAGGTATGTTTTTTTTCAATGAGGTTTTATGCGGTTTAGTGAAGAATTTCTTACTATTGAGAGTGGATTTTTATACACTAGTTATAACAAGAAATTTCCAGCAAAGGTATCAATTTAATAATTTCATTTAGGCTTCTCAAATAAATTAGGGCTTGATTGAACCAGGAAGACTGAAGGACTTTATTCAAGCATCAAGAATTTATGGGTGTAACTCAGAGAAGGATTGCTAACCATCTAGAGGCTTAAGAACAGATTTCTTTCACTAGCTCCCTATGAAGGATGCAACATGGATTTACACTCTTTTCTAGAGGCTTGAAAAATGTAAATTTGCTTCCATTACAGTGTGATAGCCATTCCAACTGCTACTCCAAGTTTAGTTTGATCGCTGTAACTAGGCTACCTTAAGCTATGATCAACTCACTGCTCCAAGCAGCTGACTTACTATGAGCTGAGACTGACTCGCTATGATCAGGCTGCTCCCAGCTAAAATCGACTTAGGAGAATGAGGTTGCTTTGAGCCAAGGCCACGCTGGTCTCTAGCCAAGCAGATAGCTTATATACATATACTTATACATGAATGCTTTCACCAAATGGCTTCATTATGACTCACCAGATGGCTGAAATCCTTCACCAAATGGCCGATCGTGTGTTATCACGTGGTATTAATCATCCATATATATTTCTTCTTAGGGATCTCAATCCCTCACACTTTCTACAGTTTGTGAGTTGTAGGCATGCATCATCTTCATCGCCACTTAGTCATAGTATAAGTGCCATTGAATCTTCATCTGTTCTATCAATGCTGCTGCAGTTCAGGAGACACCAACGAATTCCCGGTCCCCCACACCGGAATTCTCATCTCCTGAGTCAAGGCAGAGCACACACGACACACTCATCTTGCCTTCCCAACGGACACTTGTCTTGCCTTCCCAGCGTGCACAAGCTCCTCAATCTCATCGTGGACTGTGGCTGAATTTCTCCCACCGCCGCACAACACTGCTGCCTACAAGCTCTTGGCTAACATGCACACATAGCATTGAAATGCCATAAATTCTTTGAATTTCATGGAGGAGGGTGTTGTACAAACTGAGGTTACTCCATAGCATTCTTTTGTTGATAAGTTCTTGCACTTGCATTTAATTGAGAGGCTGTGATTGTCCAGATTCACCTTATTAAAAGGCAGCTAATTCGGTATAATATTTGTACAAGAGTTCTTTCACTAATGTTTCTTTGGCACCACACATCTTGGCGCAAGCATCCACGGAATCACAAAACCCACGCTCATCCTCCATGTCTATCGAGAGGTAAAGACCTTGGACAATTCTAAACTCTGTGCTGGATCCAAACCCGGGATCTAGCTCCTCGTACTCGTGCTTCACCACTCTATCGAGATCCCCGTACCGCGCATCTAGAACGCGGCAAACGGCCGCCTTGAACAGCGACGATCTCACATTCACCTTGGAGGGCGTCTTGAACGCCTCAAGCGCCCTCTCGTTGCTCTCCAGCTCTCCAATGTTCTTTGAGCAGATCGCTGCCAGGAGATGGCAAGACAGTTTTTTCCACGCAACCTTCGCGAGGTGCCACGCCGCAACCGCTTTGTCCGTGGAGCCGTCTCGCCGAAAGCACTCAGCTGCTTTGGTGTAGGAAATCGCCGACTCGGAGATATTTTTCTTGGATTGGCTGTGTGCGATGCCTTGCTTCATGTGAATCTCTGCTGCCTCGGACCATTTCTTCTCCTCTTCCAGCTTTTTAACCGGATTGCTCCGCCATGAATGCCCTAGAGAAGACTATAGTGATGCAAAAAGGCGATTTATTGGTTTAACTTATTAATCACCTTTATCTTTTGTTTAAAACGCTTACTTTAAAGAGCTTGCGATGTCTATGACGAAACGAAACTTAACGTCGCTTTTGATCATCCTTTGTATGGCAGCGTTTGCGTAGTCGATGGGAATGATCTCGATGTTGGGGAGGATTTGCTTATCGGCACAAAATTGGAGCATCTCTTCGATCTCTTTGCATCCACCGGTTACGCTCCCGGAGATCGATCTCCTGGCTAAGAAACACGATGTATAGGAGCCAAACAAGAAAAAAGTACGAAAGAAAAACTTACGCAACATCAAGTGTGTAGCAAATTCAATACTCGGTGGAACACCCACCATGACTAAGTGCCCTCCCGTCTTTAGAAGTGGGAGATACAAGTTCAGATCGTGTTTCCCTGCCGCTGTATCGATGATCCAATCTATGGATTTTCCTGCGGCCTGTCATGGTGAACAAACAAAGAATGACGTCTCGAGCCAGAGGAAAAGTATCTTAAACGTGAACTTACATGCAACGCTTGTGGATCTTTTGTGACGAGAAACTCGTCAGCCCCAAGGAGAGTGAGAGCGTCCTCTTTCTTGCCCGGCGATGTGCTGAGCACCGTCACCTTGTGGCCAAACGCTTTCCCAAACTTGACGGCCATATGACCCAAACCACCCAGCCCGATCACTCCCAGGTGTTTCCCTGTCTGGGAGATCATACCATAGCGTTTCATTGGGCTATAGACCGTGATCCCAGCACACAATAGTGGAGCCGCATCGCTGGACGAGAGCTTGTCCGGAATTTGGAAAGCATAACTGCGAGACAACAGAAGGTTCGATCAAAAACTCGAAAAAAACTTTGATGTTTCTTACCTTGAGTGGACAACCATTTTGTTGGAGAAGCCTCCTTTGGTGATGGTTCCATCGATGTCTTCGTAGTTGTACGTGAGGAGCGATTTGTGGCAGTAGTTCTCCATTCCATTATCGCAGTCGTCGCAAGAGCCACAGGAGCGGCAGTAAGCTCCGACGCCAGCGCGGTCGCCAACCTTGAAGCGTGTCACATTGGAGCCCACCTCTGTCACCACGCCTACAATCTCGTGTCTATGGATGGAATCAAAGCCACGAGGAAAAAAATTGAAAAGGTCAGGAAACTAGATAATTGAAGAACGAATTGGGGGCTTACCCAGGAACGATGGGATATTTGGTGTCGCCAAGCTTGTTGTAAATGCACACGGCTTCGGCGTAACAGATCCCGCAATGGGTGATTTTGAAACAAATGTCATCGTCTCCTATCGCTCTGGAGCAGAATCAAGGCAGAAAAATATCTTTGTCACTATACCTCCTAGAGAACTCGTGGCGCGAGAGAACTCCAGATTGATCCCGAGCTGCCCAACCCACGCATTCCACACCCATCGCCATAGTTGGACTCTACTTTCAGTCCCTGGAATATCTATGACACGTGTCTTGCCGCGTGGAAAGTGCTGTGGTATGCAAGTTGGTCGTTATCTCCGTCACCGGGAAAACGCTTCACAGTCGCCGGCTGTTAGGGTTTTCGTGGACTAGGTAGGGGCCGCATTCCATCGGATTGATCCGGGGGGGGCGAGAATGTGGCGCAGAGCGAGGATGAAGCTGCAGCGTAGCTTGCGGCGGCAATGCGGGATGCGTAGCGAGCTAGGAATGATCCAGATTCCGCGAAATCGATCGCTACTGCTGCCATGAGTTGCCGCGAGAAGCATAGTGCTGCGACGGAGGATTCCGGGGCTGCCGGGTGCCCAAATCCCCATCCGGCAGGGGAGCAGTGCCAATCGCTGCCGAGGTTCCAGTTCCGACCGGCCGATCAACATGGAAGCTGGAATGCGGCGAGGAATTTCTTCCCGTTCTTTCCGAATGGCGCGGCGTTCGATGGAAAGACTTGCTGCCTTGGGATTCCACACTGTCTGTTGCCCGCCGCTCCACCTCCTCTCCATCCTCCCCCGCAAACTCCAGCTCACTGTGTTCTTGAGAATTCTCCCGTGAAGCAGCAGCACCAGCAGCAGCAACAGCCAGTTTGGTTCTACTCTAAGCTCTCCCAGCTCCAGTTCCTGTCAAGATTGTTTCACAGCAACTTACTCGGGAACTTCCTGTGCGATGAGAGTTTTCACGGATATCCCCAGGTAACCGGAGGTGGCAACTTCTACTGCAAAGAGATCCCCTCCGCGGATGCCAGTGTCAACCATCAAACTCCAGCTCGTCACGTCATGGGGCATCCACCATCGCCTTGCGACAATCCTTTTGTCCACCACCTCCTGCCACCACCACCACCACCTTGCTCCGTCGCGAGATTTCCCAGCTTCCAGGTTCCTGCGGCTTGTAATCCATCAGCGAAGCTGATCCCGCAGAAGCTCTCGATTCCTGGAAGTTGTGAGCCGCACCAGCAGCAGCAGCGCCTCCACCACCATCACCAGCAGCAGCAGCCGAGGTGTTCTGGAGCTGGAGAAGAAGCGCTCGTCTCAAAGTTTCCTGGAACGGATAGCTGCTTGTTGTGCCAGTCAAGAGCGCCACCAGCAGACATTCCTATGAATCTGTCCGCTCGGCAGCACCTTCTTCCGGCGTCGGGAATACCCATGCTCCAAGCCAAGCCTCAGTTCAATCCGCCGACGATGACGAGCCAGCAGTGGACTCAGCAGCAAGAGAAGCAACGAAACGATGGAACTTTGAAATGGTCGGGCGTCCCACCACCTCCGTGTCAAGGGGTGGCAGAAAATACCTCGGCCTCGAATTCCTCCCGGCTCTTTGGCGAGCAGTCTGCTACTGCTGCTACTCAAGGCAACGTCGCTTCGCCGCAGAGTACTATATCTCAGCTCTGCGGTCCTTTACAAGAGATGGGAGGCCAGAGGAACCGTGTCAAGGGGCAGTGGAGCTTAGCTGAGGATAAGTCACTCGTGAAGCTCGTCAAGCAGTATGGCACGCGACGCTGGTCGCTCATCTCGACGTTCATGGCGAGTGAGTTTCACTGCTAGCAATGCCTCTTTGGATTTTTGAAGAAGTGAGGTAAAACATAAGAAAGCTGGGGCTGGGGATGAACACTACGTGGGACTGAAGTGAACTTGGGGGGCTTGTTTCACAGATCGCTCTGGAAAACAATGCAGAGAGCGATGGGTGAATCATCTCCAACCGGATATTAGAAAGGAAGGGTGGACAAAGGAAGAGGAAGAGCTGCTAGTTCAAGCGCACTCTTACTTTGGAAATAAGTGGTCCGCCATAGCGAAGGTAAGCAAAAGCTTTCTACAGACTTCAACTTATACTGATGTTTTGTCTATAAATTCCAGATGCTACCTGGAAGGACTGACAACTCAATAAAAAACCATTGGCATGCTGCTCTTCGTAAGAAGGTAATTCATCTAAAGTTACAATCAGCTACAACTTTTCGAATGGCAGGATCGGCATGGCAAACTGAGGTCCAATCTTTTGAGGGAATACATCCAGCAAAAGATGGCCAAAGCTGATAGCTCAGGTTCTCAGGAAGAGACAACGACGAGTTTGAGTATGGCCCAGGAACTGGCGCCAACAATCTTCGTCGGAGCAACAAGAGAAAGGCAGGACTTACTTTGTTCAAAGGAACTAGCGTAGTCCTGTCCAACGAAAGTGAAAATATCATCAAACGTTACATACGTTCGCGTCCTGTCAACCGCAACTTAGGCGGTGGATGTTCCATATAAAAGCTCGGGTAATGGGGATCGTCACATTTTTCGACCAGCGATGGCTGCTGCTCTCCATCGTCTTCTTGCCGCAGCCATCGTGCTACTTTCGCTTCAGGCAGCGCAAGGGGTTGAGAAGAAGAGATTGTTCCCAGCTATCTTCGTTTTCGGGGATTCACTCGCTGACAATGGGAACAATAACTTCTTCTTGACTCTCGCTCGAGCTGATATGCCTCCCAATGGCATCGACTTTCCGTCTGGCCCGACTGGGAGGTTCTGCAACGGGAAGACGATTATTGACGTTTTGTGTAAGTTCGAGATTTTCTTTCTCTTTCTTTTCTTCTTTGAGACTTTTTTTCTTCTTTCTTACAGGCGACTTCGTTGCTCTTCCATATCCGCCTCCGTCTCTCGCTCCGACGACGACGGGACCAATCATCTTAACGGGAGTAAACTACGCGTCGGCTGCCGGTGGCATACTCGCATCGAGCGGTAGAAACTACGTAAGCTCGTAGACGTTTTTCTGCGTGGTTGTTTTCTAAGAGACTTTCTTTTTCTCTGCGATTTCCAGATCGACAACATGCCATTGCTAAAGCAGCTCCAGCACTTTAACGTCACTCTCGACGCGATCCGCAAACAGCTCGGCGTCGCCAACGCCACCAAGCACGTCTCCGACTCGATGTTTGCGATTGTAATCGGCAGCAACGATTACATCAACAATTACTACATCAACAGCACCACTCGCTCGCGTTACACAACCAGAGAATATCGAGAAGTACTCATCTCTTCACTGGAGAACAATTTTATGGTAAGCGTACTTTTGCTTCTCTCTTAGCCAAAACTTGGATGAAACAGACCCTGTATTCCATGGGAGCAAGAAAGTTCGTCGTGTCGGGACTAGGCCCGCTGGGTTGCATCCCGTCCGAGCTAAGCAGGAGAAACTCTACTGGAGAATGCGTGGAGTCTGTCAATCATATGGTAACCAGGTATAACTTGGCTCTCAGGAAAAGCATCAAAAGGATGAATTCAAAGCTGAGAGGAGCGAAGCTCATCTATACCGATGCTTACCGAGCTCTCCTCGAGATCATCCATGCTCCATCGTCATTCGGTAAGACTTCTAAGTTCTTCTACTGGTTTTTTTTCCAAGGATCATATTTTCTCGTTGTCCAGGCTTTGAGAACGTCAACAGTGGCTGCTGTGGAGCTGGGAAATTCAACGCCCAGTTGCCGTGCTATCCGCTCATATCGACCGTATGCAAACATCGTAGCAGCTACGTATTCTGGGACGCTTTTCACCCAACCGAGGCGGTAAACGTCCTCCTTGGCGCCAAGTTTTTCAACGGCAGCCAATCGTACGCTCGTCCCATAAACATCCAACGGCTGGCATCTGTCTGACGTGTATCCTTTCTTTTCGCCAGTTTGGCAAAAGACATAGTGACATGTGGAGCTGACGTGTTTTAGGGTTTAAGCAAGGGTAGGGTTTTTGCTCATGGCGGGAGGCGCGAGCGCCGTGAAGAAAGAGGCAGCGGCCGCGGCGTCGTCCGTGGCCAAGGAGGCGGACGAGCCATGGCTGAATGCGAATCCCACAGAGCACTACAAGCATTACGGCAAGAATTTGCGGGTAAAGAATTGGGCCATGGCTGGAGGGTTGTTGTGCTTCGTGGCGGGCGTCTACGCTTACACGATCCATGCGGTAGGATCGTCGGATGAGCTGCAAAAGGCCGTGGAGGAGTATGAGAGGAATCAAAAAGAATTGCAGCGGCAGCAAAGTGGAGGGCAAGTTCCAAAGCCAGCATAAACAGGTTAGAAATTTTCAAAAAAAATTCTCATCCACATTTTCTCTTACTAGATTTCTTCGTGGCAAATAAATGTAGATTTTGTGTTCGTTTGCTTTTTTTCCAGTGCTTGTTTCGTTGCGAAGTACTGGATTTTTGTTTTGAGTCGTTTCTCTTGAAAAGTTTGTTTATTGTTCTAGACAAACGCCATCTTCTGTGTCTGCTCGAATGATTTCGTCACTTTCTTTGTGCTTTCGTGCATCGCTGGGATTTTTGTGTCAATCGTTGTCTTTGTTGGATTGATTTGCTTTGCGTCTTTTTGAAGTCTTGGAGCCCTAGACTAATGCGGATTCTCTGTGATATGATCTTTGGTCTGTCAAGATCTTGGACTGCTTTGCTTTCGTTTCTTCGCTCGCTTTCAAGTACGTCCCTTTTACTTACAGGAAAAGCTAAATCCGTTGCTGTCGATTCATTCACCAGGTCTCCAGCGGAAATTTCCTGCGGTGGCCGCGTGCTTGTACCGCCAATAACACAAACGTTTTCTTTTGTGTTCTTGATTGAGTGGAAGCAGCACCAGCATCAACCAAAACGTTTTGGTTCACCAAACATGGGATTCTTCGTTTCCCTTTCCCTCGTTTGTCCATTTCTTATTCCTGAGGCCCGACTAAACATATTCGCGACTGCCCAGCTACGCGAGAAAAGCTCACCATACTGCCGCTGCTAGCTCGCCTTTGTGGTTGTAGACTCCATGTGGTGTTTCGTTTTTGCAGGCTCCAAGCAGCAATCAATAAGAAAAGGATGAGAAAACTCGATCGATGCATTGAATGGTTGGGCAGAAAAGGACACATGATTGGACAAACAGCCAACCGACAAAAGCCACCATTTTCAAACCCCACGGAATATACCCCGATTTTACTCAAGGAAAACAATTTCTAAGGCTCTAAGAATTTGAGAATTTAGAAGAATGGAATATTATTAAAATCTTATAAATTAGTTTGGAAGAATTTTGTCTAGCTATACGCGCTGTTCTTGCTGACACCCAAATATATATATACATTAACGTCCTAGCTAGCTCTGCTGCATGGCGCTCTGCCTTAGGCTGGAAGATTCACAGCTGCACGAAAAAACAAGCATTTCATTGAGCTTAATAATAATAATGATAATTACAATATTAACATCATCAAGTTGACCCATTGAGACGTGCATGGTAAAAAAGAGGAAAAACGAGTATTCTAGAGCCTGCAATAAACTTACATTTCCTTCCTACAGTTGACGCGAGATGGCTTCACGCACGATCAGCTCAAAGTTAAGTGTTTTGAAGTAAAATTTTGTGTTCTCAGACAGCCAACTAGCGCGTTTACTTTTCACCTGGAATCAATCACACAGCCACGCAGCTCTTTCTTAAAGCTCTCGTCATTGTCTTCTCGGCATTAGGGCTTGGCTTTGATCGATTGTGCGGCACTGTGATCCATCGAGCTCTCAGCGGTATTCCTCTATTTCATTCTTGCTTTGAGTCTTTTGGATTTGATTCAATGGCTTCTCGCGCAGGTGTTTTCCATCGATTGATGCCACTAGCGACGACGACGACCAAGCTCTGATTCGACGCTAGCTCTGGATTCCGCTACAGCCATTCTCCTGCTTCCTTGATCCCATCTCTAAAAAAGCCTGTCAATCATGTAAAGCTCTCCTCTTTCCACTTCTCCCGACCTTTCCAAAATCTTTTCCAAAAAAAAGAAGAAAATCCTGCTCGGATGATGGGGTTCTCTTGAATCACCACTAGCTCATCGAGCAACAAAAAAGAAAAAACAAAAAACAGGAAAAAAAAGAAATTTTTGTTTTTGCTAGCTATGGCGGACGAAGAACAACAAGGAAATCTCGTCAATAGCGCTGCGACTGGGACTGGGAATGCGAATGCTCCGGTTACTGCGCAGATTGTCCCGGGCAGCAACAGCAATGGCGTCGGCCCCGTGTACATAATGGCGCCGGATCGCATTTCCAACGTTTCCACCAGCTTTGGACGCTCGGGGCGGATCAACAAATGCTTCCCGGTCGACAGCTGCGTCATGGAGGACGGACTCTTCAGCGAATTCCAGGCCGCCATCGCCCCTTCCTCAATCTCGCGCCGCAAAAAGGTACCATTTCTTGCCATCTTTTGCTGCTTGGCGACTGTTCCATCCATCCTCTCTCGCTGCTACATTGCATAGAAGAGCTGATTTTTCGTTGCATCGTGATTTTTGGAGATCTAGAGATCTGGACAAGGTTTTGTTGTTCTTGTAGATTGGAGCAGAGTTCATTGGCACCTTCATGCTCATCTTCGCCGGGACAGCCACCGCCATTGTCAACGAGAAGACTTCCGGGAGCATCACCACTGTGGGACTGGCCGCCACCTCGGGCCTCGCGGTCATGATCGTCATCCTTGCCACCGGCCATATCTCGGGAGCTCATCTCAATCCCTCGCTCACGCTCTCCTTCGCAGCACTCCGCCACTTCCCGTGGGTTGAGGTACATTCTTTCTCATTCTTTTTGGTCTCTTTCTCGAGCTTTTGTCGATCGCGCGGGACAGGTTCCTCTCTACATCGGTGCCCAGGTCGCGGCGTCCATCTGTGCCGCGTTTGCGCTCAAGGGCATCTTTAATCCTTTCATGCATGGCGGCGTCACGATCCCGTCTGGAAGCTACTGGGAGTCTTTTGTTCTCGAGTTTATCATCTCCTTCAACCTCATGTTCGTCGTCACTGCCGTGGCCACAGACTCACGGGCCGTAAGTAGCACTGATCTTTTTCCCCGTTATTATTGCTCGATGTCTTTCTGCTGATTATCAATCCATTAATATCTCAAAGGTGGGGGAGCTTGCGGGGATCGCCGTAGGAGCAACTGTCATGCTCAACATCCTCATTGCAGGGTAAAAGTCCAGAGTAACTCAAGTGATTCTAGAACGACACTCACTAAATGGTTCCATATCTCACGCAGATCCACCTCGGGTGCTTCCATGAATCCGGTTCGTACTCTTGGACCCGCGATTGCTGCCAACAATTACAAAGGCATCTGGCTCTATATTGTCGGTCCAATATTTGGTGCTCTAGCTGGAGCCGCTGCTTACACGCTGGTCCGGCTTAAAGGCGAGCCTGAGCCCGGCCGTCCCCGTTTCAGCATGCGGAGGTAGTCTTTGTCGTCCGTGCATGCATAGCTATATAGTTTAATGTACTGATACAAATTAAAGAAAATTAAAAAAAAAATTAGGAGTAGCTTAGTTAAAATATGGAACACTTGCAAGAATTACCTGTTTCTCTCTGAACTATGAACACTTTAGCATTAAGCAGTGTCCAACAAAGGTGAAAACACAGTACAGAAAACCAATAAAGCAAAATTCCCAAGGTTTATTCATTTTTCCCAGACCATTCCACTGAATCTAGTTTTAGTTAGTGATTTCAGATGGAGCCAAGTATACAAGGCGACGTATTCTCGCTCGTTGAGCTCAAGTTGATCAAATGCCAGGATTGCCCGGTCAATAATCACAAGCACCCTTTGGCATAGTCATATCTCCACGGTCGCCTCGGACAGACAAGAACCAGCTCGCATATCCCAATTTCATCGTCTTCCACATCGTCACCAGCATACAAACCAAAGAGCATCATGCCTCAAGCTCAACGTACCATCAGGGAGGCTGTCGTCATCGCCTATGCGTGATGCCTATTTAAAGGAATTAAACCTGACCTAAAGCTGAGCATGGCAAGAAATGCAGGCATGACAAAAGCAGAGGCCTGAGAGAGTTTCCAAGTCATGGCCATGGAAAGCTTAGAAAAAATAAATATTGTAAAATATTAATAATACAATACAAGTTAATAAGTGGTAGCACTATAGTATTAGTATTTTGTTTCATGACTAGCAATACTATAAACAAAAAACGAATATCAAGAGTCAGACTGAATGCTTTTTAATGAAGAAATTCCTTAAATATAAATCTGTAAAACAATTGAAAAAACTTATTTATATATATATATATATATATATATATATATATATATATATATATATATATATATATATATATATATATATATATATATAGTTAGTTTACTAATCCAAGATGAAGATAAAACAAAGAATGTATTCATGGATATTTAATATGTATGATTTCAAATTTTAAGAGTAGATATATATTTTAGTCAAAGATATATTCTATATTAAATAGCCATTAATTAATAAAAATTAAACCTTTCTTTAATACCACATACAATGCACTTTATTTTTTCTCTTTATTGTTTAATGAGAAAAACTTTAATAATTATTTTATCCCTAAAGTTTGTGTTCCTTTCAAAACTTTTTATATTTCATTCAGTTTTGTCAAGTCACAATCATTACACAAGTTGTGCACAAATAAAAGATGGTGTTCATGGTGTATGGCTTGCTATACTTATTCAGCACTGTCATGCTGTTATTATGAAGAAGATGAAAGTTTTAAAAATCTATAGTGATAGTATATTTAAATTTCATAATATATTTTAATAAACTATATCCAAATACAATTTGAAATTATTTAACAAACACAGTTTATATTAGTGATATATATATATATATATATATATATATAGATATATAGACACACACACACACATTAAATCTTGATTACTAGAAGATTAGAGAATAATTTGTTATGTGTTTCATGTAGCAATTTTTCTTTTATTTATTAATCTAATTGAATAGAAGTTTATAATTATAAAAATATTTATATTTTTATAAAAAAAAAAAAGTTTATTGCATATAACCATTAGAATAAATAAAATATACTAGAAAGTGTTCAGAAAAGTTTAACCATTAGATAATAGGATATCCCAGAATATTTAAGTATATTTTAAATATATCTTATTGATTTGGTTAAGCCAAAAGAAATTTTAGGGTATATTACAATTACAGGTTTTTATAGCAAAAAAAAATGGAAAATTTATTTTATATATAATAAATTTCAAAAGTAAAATTACTTAATGGTTATTACAATTTTCTTTAAAAATTCTTTTTATAAAGAAAGCAAAGCACTAAATTTTATAATCAAGTGCATTGTTCTTTACTTCATTTTTTAAATTCTTTATTAATTTTTTCCTATGAATAAATAAGCAGTTGATAATTTAGAATGTAAAACGTTGTTGTAGATATTTGTATTTAAAATAATTAACTTATAACTGAACTTAACATCGAAACATGTGATCAGTGTGCAGCTTGGCTACATATTCTGGTTACAGCATTATATACAGGCAAGTTATATGTAACTTCACACTTCTTTCACAGGTAAGTTATATGTAACTTCACACTTCTTTCACAGGTGTAGCAACTTATGATCTGACATTGCCACTTTAACGCAATCGGAGAATGGGTCTAGACATTATGTAAGTACCTTCGTGGAGGTGTGAGAGCGTCCTTGCCAGCGTCTAGTATCGACTATGCTTCATTTGGTGCTTGCGATCTATTGCTTGTAAGAAGTCAAAGAACATCAAAGTTGGGGGAGGTTCATAGCTGGCTTTTGTTTATGTTTGCGGCTAGTTGTCTACTTCGAGCCTGAAAAGGTTTTATAAGGTCAGCGCTGGGAGCGTAGGAACTGAAGTGCCAAAGCCTCTTGATCTGCCAGTGACATGGAGTCAAGCTCCATTTGCGAGGATTCCTTCATATCACCGTTGTCGTTGTCTTCGTCCGAGTAGTCACTGTTAGAAACTGCCAAACGGGGAGCTTGCTCTTGCTCTGTATCATCCATAGCTTTCTGTAACTTCGCCTTCTGCTTGTGCCTTTTGTCACGCAGTCTCTGTCGATCTAGCAGCCTGTCCTCCTTGTCTCTTTTCTTCATCTCTTGCTCCAATCTCTTATATCGCGCTTGGGTAACAGCAACAATATCTTCCTCTACACCTTCACGTAAAGAGGAATGTAAGTAAAAATAAAAGAGGAAGAACTGTACCTGTTACTTGCTCCTTGGCTAGTGTGGACAGCGGAGGCCCAGCATTTCCATCGTCATCAAAAACCAGGCGGTGAGATCCGGTTGTCTTCAAATCAATCTTAAGCTTCATCTTTTTCGGCTTCTGCGGTTTTGGCCTAAACAAAAACAAAAACTCCATGTATGGAAAAGAGAGAATCAAAATTTTACCTCATAGCAGTATCGCCTGCCTCAAGTTCGTCTCTTGGTCGCTTCTTGGGCTCATCGTTGTCCCGTTCCTCTCTTGGTCGCTTCTTTTGGAAGAAGGGCTCATCGTCGTCCTTCACGGGACGGTTGTCGTCTTGGTCAGTCTTGTGTTCTGCCTCAGGCATTTTGAGAGCATAGCACACATTTTTCCCGGCGCTACTCTGCCCTTTCCCAAGAAACCGAACTCGAGGGACTGATGGCAAGCCCAATGATGCCGCATATTCAGGTATGGGAAGCTTGTGGACGTCAAAGACCTCTTTATTGCCTTGTAAATAAACCGATCGTAGATATGTCGTGAAAGCACGTTGAGCCATGTGCTTGAGATCAGCATTCTTTGAAAGAAGTCCCGAAATCAGTTGTGACACGGACTGGATCTTCTTTTCATTCGGCTGCAACAAATCAACATATTCGATCAGGACAACATTGTTAAACACCAGATTACCTTCAAAACTTTAATCGGGATCTTCGCTTCCTCGAGTAAGGCCACCATTTTTGTTTCTGACGGAGACAATAGAAGTAGGGAGCGGCCTGAAGCTTTGTAGCGGGCAGTTCTACCAACACGATGGATATACGTCGCCACGTCTTCGGGACAGTCGGCCTAAAGTCAAAGTGATTGGCACCTGTCGAGGGAAAAACAAATAGCAGCTTTTACCTGAACAACCCAATCAACTGTCGGAAAATCCAGTCCTCTCGCAGCGATATCGGTTGCAAACATAACCGCGTACTCTGCTTCCACAAACTTGTAAAAGGCATCTAATCTGCCACCCTGCCTCAAGCGTCCATGTAAGCAGGTGAGAGGAACTCCGGGCCGGAGATGCTTGAATGCCTCATATACGAACTTCACCTGGTAATAACACTCGCGGTTTGTAAGAATTCAAGAAAAAAAAAAGTAAGAAGATACCTGCTTGCAACTGGAAAGAAACACAAGAACTTTTGCTCGAAGGTGAGATTTGATGAAACTCCAAAGCGTATCGATCTTTTGATCCAAGGGAACAACCATGACAGTTTGTTGGAGTCGCGCAGGTGTTGCTACAGCAGACTCGGCATGCACGGCCAAGTACTCGGGGGACTGCAAGCTAAGCCTCGCAAGATCCTGGACTGACCGTGTCTGTGTAGCCGAGAACAAAAAAGTTTGACGCTCCTTTGGAATCTGAGCAATGATCTGGTTGAGAGTCCCGGCAAATCCCATATCCAAGATGCGGTCAGCTTCATCCAACACCAGCAGCTTAAGAAGATAAGGATTAAAGATTGAATTTTTCAATGGAAAAGGAATGGATCGCATACCTTGAGCGGGGAGCAATCGAAATTCACAGTCTCGTGCATGTGTTGAAGCAGGCGCCCGGGCGTGCAGACGAGAATGTTGAGGCCATTGACACTTTGCTTCTCAGTGCTCACGTCCTTTCTTCCTCCTATCAACAGGCCCCCGCTAAGGTCGTGGAATTTGCCAACTTTGCGAAGCTCGTCAAAGATTTGCATCGCGAGCTCGCGAGTGGGAGATATGATAAGCGCACCAACGCCATCCATGGAGGTCCATCGTAGACGGTAGAGCTTCTCAATCACCTGCATTGCAAGCCCGACGATCACGATCAATTGAAAAGAGAATGGAGTGAACGGCTTGAAGGAAAGAAAAGAAGAGAAAGAAGAAACGATCAGCTTAACTGGAATGAGAAACGCTAGCGTTTTTCCCGACCCCGTCTTGGCTGCCCCGAGAATGTCTCTCCCACACAGTGCGTGTGGAAGAGCTGCCCTTTGGATGTCGGTCATAGTCACATACTTGGCGTCCCTGAGACCATCCAATGTGAGCTGCGAGAGAGGCAGCTGCTGGAACAACGTGGCGCCGGCGTAGGGCTTGAAACCTCCAGCCCCTGGACTCTCATCGAGCTTCTCCCCGAGAGGATTGGAGCCCGATCGCGGCGCTCCGGCCTCTATTCTAGCATCAAGCTCCGCAATCTCTTGCACGGACCTGGAGGCCTTGCTGGAATTTTTCTTCGGCGGCCTCGCATTCTTCTTGGCATCCTTCTTCCTCTCGCGATTTTGCTTGAGCTTCTCCGCCCGCCACGCCCGGCCTCCTCCCATCCGCAAACCCTGGAAACCCACTTTTAGGGTTTAAATTTACGCATTTTAGGGTTTATGCTACTGATCTCATTTGCTTTGGGCAAATGTATATTTCTTCGTTGCCTGTAGATCCCCCAAGGCGCTAGGGTTTGTGGGACGCGATCGGGGAGGGGGGAGATCGAGATCACGGCGTGGAGGTAAATCGCTAGATAGGCTTAGCCCAGCAGGGGGCGGCATTCTCCCTCGCCGCCGCATGGCTGCAGCTATGGTAGACGAGCCGCTCTATCCGATCGCCATTCTCATCGATGAGCTCAAGAACGAGGACATCCATCTCCGCCTCAACTCCATCCGCCGCCTCTCCACCATTGCCAGGGCTCTGGGCGAGGAGCGCACCCGGAAAGAGCTCATTCCCTTTCTCAGTGAGAACAACGACGACGACGACGAGGTGCTCCTGGCTATGGCGGAGGAGCTCGGGGCGTTTATCCCATATGTTGGTGGCGTCGACTACGCCTATGTACTCCTCCCGCCGCTCGAGACGCTGTGCACTGTGGACGAGACCATTGTTCGCGAGAAGGCTGTGGAGTCGCTTTGCCGGATTGGGTCTCAGATGAAAGAAAAGGACTTGGTGGATTGGTTTATCCCTCTCGTCAAGGTAAGCCCTGCTCGAGAGTTCTTCTACCTTTGTCTCAATTCTCTGGTTTGTGATTCTTGCAGAGACTCGGGGCGGACGAGTGGTTTACCTCTCGCATCTCAGCTTGCTGCTTGTTCCATGTAGCGTACCCGAGTGCTCCAGAAGCAACGCGGTCGGAGTTGAGATCTGTGTACAATCATCTCTGCCACGATGATCTGCCCATGGTGAGGCGGTCGGCGGCTTCGAATCTGGCAAAGTTTGCAGCCACCGTGGAGCCGGCTCATCTGAAATCTGATATAATGTCGTTTTTCAAAGACCTCACACAAGATGGTAAGTTGTACGAGTAACTGGCTGTAAATTGGTTTGAAGCGCTGTGGGACTTTGTTTTGTAGATCAAGATTCACTGAGACTTTCGGCGGTAGAAGGCTGTGCTGCGTTGGGCAAGCTACTTGAGCCTCAAGATTGCATAGCCAATATTCTTCCAGTTATTGTTAGTTTTTCTCAGGTGAATCTAAAAGCTCTTCAACTCGTAACCTGAGAACTGACGTGCTGCCTTTTATTATCAGGATAAGTCCTGGCGTGTACGCTTTATGGTTGCTAATCAGCTCTACGAGCTTTGCGAAGCAGTGGGTGCCGAGGCTACGAGGTAGTTGCATCACATTATTCTGAGAGCATTGACGGCCTGACGACGTTTTCTTTCAAAGGACCGAACTTGTTCCAGCTTACGTGAGACTTTTGCGGGACAATGAGGCGGAAGTGCGCATCGCGGCCGCGGGCAAGGTGACCAAGTTTTGTCGTATAATCAGCCCGCAACTAGCAACGCAGCAAATTCTTCCCTGTGTCAAGGTCTGGAACACTCTTCACGAGGTTTAGAAAAATTAACATTGTGCTTGGAATAAGTGCAGGACTTGGCAATCGATTCATCGCAGCACGTTCGAGCTGCACTGGCATCAGTGATTATGGGTATGGCTCCAGTACTAGGAAAGGTAACAGAAGTTCGGATTCAAACAGAGGAAGGACAATGCCAGCATGTTGATGGTTCGTCTCTTTGTGCAGGAGGTGACTATTGAGCAGCTTCTACCGACATTTCTGGCGCTATTGAAAGATGAGTTTCCTGATGTGCGGTTGAGTATTATGAGCAAGCTTGATCAAGTTAACCAGGTGCGTCGCAAAAAATTCTACTTTCAAAGCTGACAAGCGGAGTATGCAGGTCATAGGTATAGACTTGCTTTCTCAGTCTTTACTGGAGCTGGCCGAAGACAGACACTGGAGAGTACGGCTTGCGATTATAGAGTACATCCCTCTCCTTGCAAGCCAGTTGGGAGTGGAAGTTTTTGACGATAAACTTGGTTCTTTGTGTATGCAATGGCTTGGGGATCAGGTACTGTGCTTGTATTTGCACTTCATCTGGTGATAGAACGAACTGCTGTAGGTGTTTTCAATCAGGGAAGCTGCCGCGAACAATCTTAAACGCTTAGCGGAAGAATTTGGTCCTGAGTGGACTTGCCAACACATACTTCCGCAGGTGAGAGGTTTTTTGTTTTGAGTAGTGGTCCTGACACTGGCTCCTCTCTCACAGGTGATCAACATGATTAACAATCCTCACTATTTGTACAGGATGACGATTTTACATGCCATTTCTTTATTAGCTCCAGTTGTTGGGGGCGAGGTTACATGCCAGACATTGCTGCCAGTGGTTATCAATGCATCAAAAGACAGGTGCTTGATTTTTTCCATTTTGTGTTTAGCCTTTGGATAACTTGTGTGTGCCATGACAGGGTCCCTAACATAAAATTTAACGTGGCCAAGGTGCTAAAGTCCTTGATCCCGACTGTGGATGCCTCGGTAAGCTTTGAGAGAGCTTGTGGAGAAGCTGCTAATCTCTTTTCCAAACTCCAGGTGGTGGATCAAACCATAAGACCCACCCTACAGGAACTAAACGAGGATCCAGACGTCGACGTGAGGTACTTCGCAAGCGAAGCTCTCAAGGCGTGCGACGACACCATGTCGACATAAGAAAAAGCAAGCTAGAGCGATTTTTGTAGCGAAACTAATGCCAGGAACAAAGAAGGAGAAAGAAGAAGAAGAAGAAGAAGAAGAGAATTGGAGCTACTGCTGCTGGATTGGGCATGAAGGAGCGAAGAGAGAGCGAGGCGGCTAGTGCTTTTCACCTCACAAGATTTGTTTCGTGGGACTCCTCGTGTAAAACTAAGTGCTGGCCGTTGGATTGCGCGTGCAACCAAGAGCTCAAACGCTGGCCGTCGGATCTCGGCACTAGACGGTTAGGGTTTTTGTGGGGCTCGCTTTCCACCATGTCCTTGTCGGCCCAGGATCCGTTTTACTACATTAAGGATCAGCTGGATGAATTGGTAAGGCAAACGTTTGATTCTAGCGTTCTGTTTGATCGGATTTGTAATCCAGGTGGGCGGATTGAATTCGAGCTATTTGAGATGGCAGGGGCTTCCGGCATCGCTGGAACGCGATGGGATTGCCAAGCAGCTGGTTGAGAAGTGTGGGAGCATCGAGAGACAGGTATGGGATTTGCGATTTGCCTTGGCAAGAGGGTTTAAGAGGGGTTTTCAGTCTGTGTGGAATTTTGTTTGGCTTGGAAGGTGGATGAGCTTGACCGAGCGATAACTGTTGCAGAGAGGAATCCCGCGAAGTTTCGAGTTGGGCCGGCCGAGATCGAGCAGAGAAGGAGATGGACGACTCAAACCAGATCCAAGGTGAGAGCTTTGAGAAGCTTAAAACTCTTCTTCTTGAGATAACTTGAGAGCTTGGGCTTGTGTTTAAGATTGGTGGCATAAAAGCTGCTGCTCAAGATGCCGTGCAAAAGGCCCAAGCTGCTGCTCCAATGGGCGGTGCTCGATTTGGAGCTCCTCCTCCAACTCAGAAGCAGGGCCCGGATTATTCACAGCACAACGATGACTACATTGCTTCCGAGTCGGACAGACAGAGTCTTCTAATGCGGTAAGAAATCTTTTAAAAGCTTTTCTTTGTGCCCTCGTCTCCTTTTTGTCTAAATGATGCTTGAACCAGGGAGCAGGATCAAGACTTGGACGACATCAGCACGAGCCTTGAGAAAATCGGTGGAGTTGGAGCGACCATCCACGAGGAGCTCTCTCAACAGGTCAGGTAAAAAAAAATTACCAAGTGCTTGGCGATTGCTGATTTTTTTTTAAAATTCAGGAGGGTATGATCGATGAGTTGCAGCATGATGTTGACAGCACCTCTAGCAAGCTCGCCTATGTCCAGGTCAAAAAAATCAAACTAACAATGCTTAAATAATAATCGTTTGGATCTCTCACGGTTTTGCTGGATCCTTGCAGAAAAAGCTGGAGCATGTAATAAGAAAGGCCGGATCTAAAGGGCAACTGGCCATGGTGGCGGCCTTGGTCATCCTCTTGATCATCCTTGTCTTTCTAGTATTCTACACGTAACAGATCAGATGAGATAAACTACATGCAAAAGCTTCACAAACTTAACGTGCATTGATCCATAAAATAAGTGACAAGGGCTATATGTAAGTATCTACAACATAAACCGATAAGGGGTTTGTGTTGTTTGAACTTTGCCAAATGGCATGTAGGTGGGAGAATGGCGCAAAATCTGTGGGCGGACCTGGGAAAATCCATCCAAGTGGGCGGACGCAATTAAACTAGAAGAATAAGTAGCTAGCGTCTCAGATAGGAGAACTAAAATGAGTGATGCAAACCTTAGTGCTTGTCATCCATTCTCAGTCCTGCTAAACGCCATGTTGTGGCCTCTATTGCAATTCTGGCCATTGTTGGAGTGTGGGGGGGCTGATTATTATGGCAATGGTAGCAAACGTGGGTATATTCTAGGATATTCTTCATTCTAACGGCTTACTCTTTTTTCTAATTAATTTTTAATTAGTAATTCTCTTAATTATAATGATATTCTTAGAATAAACCAAAGAAATTACTAGCCAAAATCTTTTTTAAGTGCTACAATCACTAAAATGTATTAATCAAACTCCCTTTTGATGTGGTATTTCTTGTGCCCAAAAATCATTAACCTTTTTTTTACCATTGCTTTTCTGCAAGACAATTCAATCCATACTTTTGACATAAGACACCATAGTAACACCAACTAAACAAAAGAATTGACACACAAAGGTTTTTCCACAAAAAGATTAAGAATAAACTCACTTGTAAAATTAAACTATTGAGTAAATGCTAAAATCAAGTTTTCTTCCACATTGCATGCACTTGTTAACTCTTTCAAAACCTTTTACAACCACCATGATTAAACTTGTAACTCTACACATAAAATATTTGTATCTACTAGTTTGTGTTTCAAAACCTTTAGAAAAATTAGGGATTTATCTTACATTAGAAGGTGAAGGATGTAGATTTTAAATATAAATTTTTTTAGAAAAGTATAATGAAAGAAAGCTTCATATTTTATACTTTTCCTTGTTTGCAAAACTATATGTAAATAACAATAAATTATAGTTATTTCTTTATGAAATAATAATTCATAAATATAAATATAAACCAAGATTGGCAGAATTATTAGTCTTTGACTCACTTTGACAGGAGAAAATAAAACAAAAAAACTTTAACAAGAAGAAAAAGAAAAAGCCCAGTATGCCAAAAACATTTTGGCAATGAATGCTAAGATTGTATTGATCTTGTCATCGAACAAAGTCATGTTCAACAAGATTGAAAATCTTCAATAAATACCACTACAATATTTGAAAATATATTGAAAATATGGCTTCTAGGAGGTTCCATAGCAATCTAATAATGGTAGTACATTTAGTGTGTTTTTTAATATTAATGCTTGTTACCCAGAGCCAACCATGCTCACAACCATGTTGTGGCCTCCTAGATGACAGACGTTTTTACTATTGTAATAGTGACCAGTGTTGCAGCCAATACAAGTATTGTGGTAGAGGTATTGAATTTTGTGGCAAGGGTTGTAGACATGGATATGGTGCTTGTGATGACACTGATCCCAATTCCAACTCTACAATTAGTCTTCACAGAAAATTCTAGCATATTATGTTGTTAAGTAAGTTTTTTTTTCAATAACCACCATGTTAAAACTCATCTATATATATTTGGTTTATATAATTTATACAATACTTAGACAAAGTCTCTAAATTAATTTTTTTTACAGATATACTAATCATGTTCTAATTAAGGTAACCAGAAACTAAGCCACAATTCTAATTCTTTCTCATATTAAGTTTGTGTTTGCAAATTGTAAACGTTTACAGTGATTGCTTTTAAAAATCAATTTTCTATGTTATTTTTATAATTCTAGCTAGCATGTAATGAAACTTAGACTTTCTCAATTAACGGTTGGAATGTTAAGAATTTCTAATTAAGAAATCTTAATGACTCGCCAGATAAATATAGACATATATCGAATCTAGCATATTCTTCCGAATCATCTACAGTATAAGTTCGAGGTGGCGGGGACACGTGTGTCCATGCATAGAGTGAGAGACGAATTAAAATACGGCCGAAGCTGTTTAGTTCCTGCATAGCGAAGAGAAGAGGAAAAAGTACGTATACGAAGGATTGTTGTGATGATTTCCATCCAGCTTGGTATAGTATAGACTGTAAGGCCCTACGGCCATGATAAGTAGAAGAGACGGGGTGGTGGAGTGGAAGTGAATCGAAACGCTGACGCCGAAGAAATGATCCGGGAAGCACATTTCCATTCATGCCCCGCGTGCCCCGCCCAAAATCATAGGGCATGAGAAAGCCAGCCAGCCAGCCATACCGGCATGGATCATGGATGGATGGTGAGCATGGCCGCATCAATCATGTGCATGGGGGCATGCATGGCGTGCCGTATAAAAGTACGGGCGTGCATGGTGGCATGCTGGCATGCATGGCGACACACACCCTTCGCATTCAAATGTATATAATATATGCATATCCCAACATCATGGACTATACAAAGTTAAGAATGAATGATCATCAAGGTGGTGGTGTGATAACTTGGGTTTGCATGCGCGCGTGCCTTGGGGGCTCATGTTTATGGGTTGTGTAAAACTTATGCGTTTCTCGCTCCCACAATTTGATAACATTTTTGTCCCCCCTCTTGTCATTCATTCGTTTCATTTCAGTTCCCAGTCAATTGATATTGTTTTGTCAGTTTGAGACAGCACACAGCACACAAACGAAGATAGTAACCATGCGAGCGGGAGAAAAACGAAATAAAAAACAAGCATGGTTATATTCGTGGGTGCAACGCGCTCCATTTGCAGTGCTCCCTGCTATAATGCTCGAGTTTTCTTTCGCGCGTTCTCGCCTATCCATTGGAACAGAAGACCCCACAAGATCCGCGTGATCGAAACTTATGCGGGAATGCGTCGGATGACGTTTCGAGGCGCAGCCAAAGGATTCGAACCTGCATCCGGTAGAGAGGAAGAGTGAACTGCAATAAAATAACACGTACCGAGAGAGAGCGATTAGAAAATACCAAGCTTTCCAATGCGATGGGCGATGATGATAATGATACAGCTGAGCTAGACAAAAAGGCGTCTTGTATACTTCTATAACGATCTCCAACGATAAGCTTTTTGCCACCGAGAAAGGCTACACGGCTCAGGCAGCTTCATGATCACGTATTATGAACCTCGGAGCCTGCAAACCCACCATCGAGCAAATTCAGTTTGACCAGCCAGCCAGCCAATGAAACGCTTCAGTACTTGCCTGGGAGCAACGAGTATAAATTGCCAAGCAGCAGCGCCGGGGAGAGAAGCAAGCAGCATCCTCAAAGTTCTTCGCTATAGCTCTTTCGAGTTCTCGTTTTCTTCCGGTTCTCTCGCCTTGCAGAGTTATGGCTATGGCTGGCAACACGCAGTAAGTAAACACACCATCAGTTGTTTGTCTCAACAATGCCATTTTGCTTACTTGGTTGCTTGGGTCGTGCAAACGAGCTTTGGTGACTACGTGACTTTTGTTTGGCTTGCTTGGTTCTCGGCCCCGGATCATGCACTCTTGCTTTCTTTCGCTGTCTCGCGAGTATAATAGACGTAGATATGCCGGTGAAGACTTGTGCGAGTGGAGACTTGTGTGAGTTGCTTGGACACCACCTGTTGTCTGCTTCCGAGTTGAAATTCCCTCTCCAAGAAGTTTGTTCCCGAGCTAGTATATCCTTGTCGTGCACAGGTCAAATCCCATCCTAACACATCATGCCTAGCTTGATTCCGTGTCCCCGCTGAATTTTCTCACCCAGTTGACATTCTGCGCTGCGTGAGTGTGCTCAATCCTCATCTCTTTTGCTCCTTTTCTTTCGCCTACAGCTTTTCTCCTCTTCCTATAGCCAAAAGTTAAAAGTCTCCAGTATATCCAGCATGATGTACCGCAAACATGGAAGCCATTACGCAGTGTCACCCGCTAGCCTTGCAGCATATCCTGTATCCACAAGGGAAAAAAAGCCAGCGAGTCAGTCATTCCAACTGTATTGCGCTTTAGAAAAGAGGAGGCCAACTTACCATGCGCAAACGCAGAGTGGTCTGCCTAGTGGTAGAAGAGAGGCCGGGAGTTAAAATCCTTTCGTTGGTTCCATCGTGCACACACGCGTGCATGCCCCTATCCCACGTAATGCACACGCGCAGCCTGCATGATTGATCACAAATGGCGGTCCCCCATCTTCAGTTTGTTCTGTTCCCCATATTCTCCTTATTCCCCATTCTTTGTTTTTTTTTTGTTGCTGTTTCGTATTTTTTCCGTGCATTATGCTCCAAAGATCTTTTCCGCTCTCTGTGAGGCCCTGTCGAATCTTTCGTTGGTGATGCAACCGGCCTTGTCTGTGGCGTCGAGTGCTCCAGAGGAGGACTGTGCATTGGCCAGCCGCAGCGGTCACTGCGCTTGTTTGCTTGAGGAGCGCATAAACTTTGTCGTGTCACATTCACTTATTTCTCCGTAAACTTCCAAGCTCCCGTGTCCTGTTGAGAAGTCAGTCCGTGGTGAGGAAAATTAGAGCGCAAAGAAGAAAAAAAAAGGTGACAAAATCTCACCTGGAAGCACGACGCGTGCTCTCCGCGAGTGCTTCACCCATATCTCAATCTGCAAACATATTCCAGCTTTGCCTTTCCCCACGCATTCGTGGCTCCCAGTAGAGAGAAAATAATATCCTCCACCCCGGCGTGCTCTCGATTTCGATTCATCCCTCGGAAGAATGTCCTGGTATATAACTCTGCCAAATGCGCGATTCTTTCCCCCATTCCTAATGTTCATCCGGTCCCACTCCCTGCTTTGCAAACAAAGCATGCCTTCGTGCCTTCTTTAGCACTGCCAACGCCTTTGCCATCGCTATTGCAACTTCGTCGTCTCTAAGCGGACCCCGTTTCACCATCATCTTCCATCAGGCTTGGCAATCCCCGTGGAACTTGAAAGAAGAACGTTTTGAGCTCCCCCCCACATATTCCTGGTCACCTCCCCTTGTCCATTTTATAGAACAGTAGCGCTGCTTTGTGTGCTGCTGCTCGAGCTCTCTCTAGTGCTGCCCCGCTTTTTTCCTTCATTTTCTGCAACTCCACTTGCGCCTCCCTGTCCCTGCTTTACTCCGCTGCAAATTCCCGGCAAGGACGATTCGGCCAAGGCATTCTGCGGATTTTGTTTGCTCATCATTTCCTCCCTGTCGAGGAAGATCCTTTCATTCCATTCCACTGCGTGCGTCCTCCTGTCCCAGTTTCCCAGCTTCTCATCCCTCAGACGCAACTCCGGCTTGTCTGCCGCTCACGGGTCAGGCCTAATGCTCGGTTCCTTCATTGGCTGACTTTGCTCTCCAGATTGTGATGCTCGATATCAATACCCCGCCTTTTTCGACAGTATAAGAGTTGGTCATCCGGTGGCCCTGCTGTGACTTGTGGCCAGCAAAATTCCTTTTTTTTCTTCTTCTTCTTCTTGTTGAAGGCCTTTGCATAGTACGCACTGACTGCCTGCTTGCGGCTTGAGAATGCTCTGTCCTGATGCTGCCCTGCTCTTCAGAGGTGTTGCCAACAACTGAAATGGATGCCGAGTCCCTTGCTAGCAACAGTAAATCGCTGACTTTCGAAGCTCCTCTCGGCTACAAGGCTGAAGACATTCGACCCCACGGGCTCACAGACGTGTTTCGATCTGCTGCATACTCCAACGTAAGATTGCAACGGATTTCTTGTGCTCCTTTACCTCGTCCTGACGTTTTTCTCTTTCCACAGTGCGTGAGAAGGCCATCGTGACTCCTGCTCTCCGTCCGCCTGATCGGATTCACTTCCAAAACCTCATATCCACACGTGAGATGGGAGGAATGAAGGATACTTTTGAAGAACCTGCGATGCCAACTCCTGGATTCGAAGGCTTTGAGAAGCGGCTGGAAGTTGAATTCTTCCCAGCAGCCGCTCGGTCCCTCCGGTCGCTTTCGAGGGATCAGATAGACTCGTTCCTCAATGTGGCGGAATGCACCATCGTCTCTCAGCTCTCCAATGGCCACTTCGATTCATACGTGCTCTCCGAGTCGAGCCTCTTCATCTATCCCCACCGGATCGTCATCAAGACCTGCGGCACCACCCGGCTGCTCAAGGCTCTTCCAAAACTTCTGGCAGTGGCTGCTAGCATCGGCCTGGCTCGAGTTGTACGTTGCAAGTATACGCGGGGCAGCTTTCTCTTCCCCGAAGTCCAGCCTTTCCCACATCACAGCTTTGACGAGGAGGTCCGCACACTGGACGAGCACTTTGGAAGCCTCCACAGCAGCAAGCACGTCGTTATGGGCGACGATCGCCAGAAGTGGCATGTCTACGTTGCTTCGGAGAGCAAGTCTGATCGAGCTGGTGAAGCCGTGTCCAAGTCGAGCAACACGATCTACACGCTCGAGGTCTGCATGACGGAGCTGGACAAATCCGTTGCGAGGAGCTTCTTCAAGTCGGCGTCCATTGTCACCGGTGAGGACATGACCAGAGCATCCGGTATCAACTCCATCCTGCCCCGCTCTCAAATCTGCGACTTCGCCTTTGATCCTTGCGGCTACTCGATGAACGGACTCGAGAATGGAGCTCACTCCACAATTCACATCACTCCCGAGGACGGCTTCAGCTATGCCAGCTTCGAGTGCATGGGCTACGATCCAGCAAAAACCGGCCTGAATGCGCTCATCGACCGCGTTCTCCGATGCTTCAAGCCGGGATTCTTCAGTGTCTGTGTTCATGCTGCGCCTCCTGTTTCTACGGATTCGGTCACTTTGCCATTAAAGAGCACCGGGTCAACGTGGGACAAAGCCATCTCTGCGCCAGTAGCGTATGCGTGCAGTGGTAGTCACAAAGAGGAGCTTCCAGGTGGGAGTGCCGTTGTCTATCATACGTTCCAGCTCGCCAAGCGTTTTGAATGCGGGCCGACTCAGGTGATCGCTCTTGCCGATGATGAAGAAGAGGTGGCGGCCGATAGTTTGAATACCCAGGATGAAGCCGGGGCCAATGCATATAAAACTGATAAGCTCAGGAGGCCGACGGAGACAAAAGTCGCGATGCTGCAGCCGGTAAAAGCTCGGCGGGGCTGAGCGCCGCGGCGCCAGCTTCATACTACCCAGAACTGCTCAAATTATTGAGGGACCAGCTCGGCAGCGCCTTGGAGAACTTCTCAGATGAAGACGGAGATGGCATTTTTGATTGTAGCCAATTCTGGGACGTGGTTAACAGATATCTCTGCTTCTGGGAAGTTCTCAAAAATACCAGCGGAGAAGATCAATGGCGGCAGTTTTACTTGCCACTGCGTACTGAAGAAGCTGATAGTTGTAGATATCAGAGATGTTGAGCACTTTGTGAAGAATGGTCTTGGACTAGAAAACAGATACCAAGTAATCCCAGCAGTTCTTTTAATGAGATATGCTTTGTTACTCTTGCCTGCAAGCAGGTTAGGAGGGAAACAAGAACGAAGGAAAAAGAAAATTTGCTCATACAGACCAGATCTTATATCACAAAAGAATGATACAAAGCAATCTCTCTACAACTACAAAATCTTTTTCCAGATAATCACAAGCAGAAAAATAACTCTTGACTTTCACGCAATGCAAGGCTCAGAGAGTGAAATACCTCAACAAGCGAGTGGCGACAGAGTTAATTGAGATGGTCGAAGAGCAAGTTGCACGGCTTCTTGAACTTTCTTACTGCGACGGCACACATCGGAGATTTCTTCCAGGGAGGGTGTCACGGTAGATTGTTCTGCACCGGAACCGGCTAGAGATACAGCCTGCAAAAATGATGCTTTCTCGTTGTCCGTCACTATGGACGAAGGAACCAGCGTTGCAGCGTCTTGTGCCCAGGAGGCAACTTTCTGGCCGTATAAGCGTGCGAGTGACAGGATGACGCTAATCACCTGAAAGTTCCATACGTCAGTCATGACATCACTCAGCTGAGCAGTTACCTCGTCCAGGCGCGACGTGGGAAGGGCACCAGCGAGTGCTGCTATTAAAACCCGCGTTAACGCAGGGCCACGGGGGAGTAAAGCGTTATCTATATAAAGCTGAAAAGGTTTTCCACCAGGTGAATTACAAAGTTCAATGACATCTTTCAGGAATGTCAAGATAGATCTGCAAGCTTCCCTGCAGAAAAGCATCACACGAGGTATCAAAACAAGAATAAGAAACTCACCGATGCTGTATGGTTATTCCCGTAATTGCGCAGTCAAGCAAAGGCCCAAATACAGCTTCCATCGGTACAAGAAGGTGAGGACAGTATCTTATGCACCTTGAACCCAATAGGAAGCAATCGTCCGCTAAATCTGGCATCTCAGTAAAATCCTGAGATGTATAAAACAAAACCGTTAAAAGTTGATAGAAAAGTACTGAGAAGCAAACCTTGATGCTCTTTAACAAGCTCAGCGTTTTCATAAATAAAACAGAAATAAGATTGCTTAGATATACAGCACAATTCGGATCGGCTCCAAACACCTGCAAAAGAAGGAAGGAAAAAAAAAAAAAAAAGAGTGTTAAGCTGCAACCAAATTATAAACAAATGTTACCTTGATAGCTTCACTAGCAAGATAGAGAAAGCATGGGTGATTGTGTTCCTGAAACAGGTGTTGGATTTTTCCAAGCATAGGTCCCATGCTAGATAGCATCGCTTTTCCACAGCTTCTGACCTGTTGCAACGCAGTACAGGAGTTAACACAGAAATGAAAGTTTCGACCCACCGCATATTTGCACGCTCTGCAAAGCCTTTCCATCGTACGAACGTCTGCAGCTTTCCTGTAACATTTGGTGACTTAACAGGAACTGAAATAAAAAAGACGATGTACGAACTGTGAAAAAACGGTTTCCAGTATTGGCCACATGCCACTAAACATCATTGCTAATGGCTCCGGTTGTGTTACGTATCTACACAGAAATTATTAGAAATGCCTGAACACTGTGAAGATTTAACCTGTAAATGTTGGCAAGTTTATCGATGAGTATGGTGTATTGACTTGAGGTTGTGTCCGTACCCGCTTGAGAAATCAAAATGAGTTGCTGCGAATAACAATTAAAAAAAATATAATTAGTGCCTTGCCCGACATACCTGAAGCGGCGTGATTACTGGATAGCAAAGATGCTGCAAGGCCTGAAACAGCTGCTCCGGAGGCAAGGCGCTCACAACCATACTGAGATAATCAAGGATAAGCAGAGTGTATAGGACAACACGGACAACACTGACGATTACCTGAGACCTTCCACCAGTTGCAATTCACCTTCAGAATCTAGAAGAAATTTCTTTTTGTCTTCTCCAGACATTACCTGACGAAAAACAGCAAGAAGAGATTCTATCGATCCAGTCAACTGCGTCCTGCAAGCTGCAATTAAGTCATTTTAGAGGCATTGCACTGTAAGTAACATCAGTACCATCGCAAACATGTTTCAAGGCCAGTGCGGCTGCTGCTGCCGGACTCTCACCAACACAAAGGGCGCCTATAAGCATTTCAAGCAACGTTGGAAGAAGAGTTTTAGAACTTTGAAACGCTCCTAGCCAGTCCGCAAAAGCTCCAACAGTCAAACATGCTGCATTCTCACAAATTATAATCAAAATCAAGTGAAAAAGATTTCGAGGGAACTTGTCTTACATGTGTAAAGCACCTCCGGTACTGTTGGCAGTTGAGGTAACAGAGTCATAACCTGTACATGTGATTAGCTTCAGACCTCATCCGAACTCATCTAAACCCACCGTTGGCATTAGAGTTGATTCCGAAAGAGATACAGTCTTCGCTATTGCGCGGATGCAGTATAGTAAAGCTTCTGTAGGTCGCCAATTCCATTCGTTCTTGTCTGCCGGAATGCTGACTTTTGTTAAAGGTTCTGCTAGAAGTCCAAGAGTTTCTTGACCACCAAGGACAACAGTGACGTCTATCAACATGTGTGCAACATCTGATGAGAAAAGTAATCAGGATTGCTAGAAGTAACTCCAGAAAAAAAAAATTTATAAAAATTACCTGCTCGAGTTTCACGAAAATCCGCATCTTCACCTCTTCGCCATGACTTAAAATCGGGTGGATAAGCGACATGGGAACTAACCTGCAAAATATGCTTCTAAAACAAATGTAAAAAATAAAAGAGCCATTACCAAAGACACCAGTAGTCTGTAGTAAGGACGAAAAATAGCGAGGCGACGTTCCCTTTCTGCTTCGCCAGCTGCCTCGCTGCCGAAGGCACTATAGTTCTCTCTGTGATTATTAAATTTAGTCGGTTTACGATACATAAACGCAACAAACCTTTTTGTTAAAGCTCGACTAAGTCGATGCCAGAAATTAAACGTCATTGAAGAAATAGGATAATCCGGATGCGATGTAACCTCAACTAAGGCTTCCACTATCATTATAGCTTCATTTGTACCTGGTAATCAGCTAATAAGTAAAGGTATGCTTAAGATATTCCTTTTACCACTCGCTATAAGTCCAACATAAGCTTCTCCCATTTCTGCAAACAAATACGCTATTCCTTTGACAGTCTCGTCATCCTAAAACTTAATGTTAGCAATGCAGTATTCTCACCACAATGCTACCTCATCGGTTTCGTCTATAGCTGTAGCGCCACCATTTTCTTTAGCTTGCTTCTCAGACACAGCAGACTGCGTTTAAGAAAATCACTAAAATAGAACAAAAGAGCCATAGAATGGGACTAATCACCTTCAGTGCAACTGCAAACCGAGGACGCAGGCCCATAACGCAGGGGACCAGTATTTGCACCAAAGGCATATGAACAGCCACATCTTCCGGACATCCAGTTATCGTGTAGCGTATTAGCTCAGAAACGGCTGCAACTTTGACAAAGTAAGGCCCAGCTGATTTAATAAAAGCCTTTACCATCAACTGCAGCAACAAAGTTTTGTTCAGACTGCAGAGAAGAAAGCGCTGTTTGAACAAGAGGGTGCAATGCTAGCACATTCGCAGGAATCCTGTATGAAAACATTAACTTTAAAGGCATCTCATCATTTATACATCCATACCCGTTGCTAAGTCGAAGCCAAGCAGCCAATGCTTCTAAAACCTGCGCATATAAACAAACTCGTTATAACAAAATGACAGCCTATGTTACCGAACCTGTTCTCGGAGTCCGTCAGAGCTTCTTAAGCACGAACCGAGCAACGCAAAGGCGTCTTGTACAGACATCGCTAATTCCTTCTGGAATTGGCGTCTTCTTTCCGGCCGGGCAGTGACTTTGGTACCGTAAGCTTCCTGCAAGATGAAAGTTGTGACTAGCTGAAACGGCTGAATGCGCAAGTGGCGTGACAGACTTGAGGTAACACAGCTAGCAGCTCCAACAAGCTCAGAGCGGCGTTGGGATTAGAGCCGAGCTCAAGTCCCAACCACTTCACCACTCCAACTCCACCCCATTCTTCCGAAGGCATGTGTATGGCCAAGGCAGCCATCGCCAAACACAGCTGAAGTGAGAGGTTAGAATGGGAAAAAAAAGGAACGAAAATCCATACCTGTGTTCTCACAAGCGGTGGACCTTGATTAAATTTTACAAGCAGATTCTACACGAAAAAAAATTACAGAAAATGGGAGAGAAAGATTTTTTTTTTACAGATACCATGAGCGACGATCGCAAAGACGCAGGAGCTCCGGATGGAAGATCCTCAAAGTCACGTTCGATCTGACAAATCCCCAGTTAAGATCAAAGCCCTTCCGACGAGAATGCAATCAAAGTAACCTTCGTTCGAAGCGTTTGAGCACAGAAATACGACACCTCCAGGCTGCTGCTTGGATCATGTAGCAAACTATCCGAGAGCTGCAGGGAAGGAAGAACACATCCACATTGCAAAAACACTCCGACAAATCGATATTACCCCCCACGCATCCATTCCGTGCTGGAAATCGTCGAGCCATCGATTCGCGTTGGAATGAACCTCCGGATCGGGGTGATGATACAGCGCCTGGAGCGCCTCTTGGAGCGTCTCGCGCAGTCCCATTCCGCGAGCCCTAGCTTTCTCCTTCCTCTCTCTCTCTCTCCCTCGTCTCGCTTAAAACCCTACTAAAGATCCATGGCATATTCTCGCTTTAGGCCGCCTCTATTTCTTGGCCTCATGGCCTCGGAGAAGAGGGTTTCCACAGTGGTGAGCGCACGCGCAGGATCGATCGTCCCCTCCGTCTTCTCCGATCTAGCTCTCGGCACCGATGGCCCCTGCCGCGATTCCCAGCGCCTCAATGCGATCCTCTTCATGGGGGATCGCGTCAAGCACATTGATTGCTGCCTCAGCCCCACCGTGGAGTGCCTCTCCAAGATCAGGAACGTCGGCCCCGTGATCGCGCGCAAGCTAGGGCCCCGGGCGGATGTCTGGGTCGTGGAGGCGCCCCGATTCGCGTGGAATTCCATGGCCTGCTACGATTGTTTTCTTCCTCACCTCAATCCATGGGGGAACCCGCATTCGTATGATCCTCGCGGTCTCCCAGCGGCCGCGACGACGATCAGCGTTCTCAAAGACGTCGCCTCTCAGGTAAGATACACTCGAAGAACTTTGAGAGAATTCGTTGGTTTTGTAGGTGAACGGGCAGCTTGAGCGTTCCAAAGGGAGGAAGCGAATGGAATCACGCGCTACTTCTAGCCTGGGAAAGCACAGGACGATCGTCATGGGGTTTAGCAAAGGTGGTGTGGTTTTAAACCAGCTCATGGCGGAGCTAGCGCACTTACACGGCCCGGATCACAAGACGCGCTCGGAGAAAGAAAAAGAGGTGGAGCTTGGCGAGTTTGCATCGATTCCTCGTACCAGCGAAGAGTTCCTGGACAGCATCGAGCAGTTCCACTACATTGACGTCGGGATGAACGAGTGCGGCGCTTACACCACGGACGACAGTGTCTTGGAAGAGATCGCAAAGGTTGCGAGGCTCCGGGACTCCGGCCTCACGGTTTTCATGCACGGAACACCACGCCAATGGAGCGATCCAAACAGAGGGTGGATCTCCGCGGAGAAAGACCAGTGCATCCGGCAGCTTAGAGAAGCTGGAAGAAAGTTTGCTGCTAATGGAAAGCTCAGGGTGGAAGAAAAAACGTACTTTGCAGACGAAGAGCCCAGTCTCGACATGCACTTTTCAATCCTGGAAGCGTTTGATCTCTCCGTTCCGGATCTGTAAGTAGCGAGGAGTTTCGAGCATTGCGTTTAGAGCAAGCCTTTCTCTTGCAGGCTAGCAACCGTGTCCACCAGCATCTTCTCGTAGGGGATGAACTCCTTGATGAGGGACAGGATCTTCTTGTTCGACATCTTCTTGAATGAATTGCCTTGAGTGGTCTCACCTTCACACCTGCAAGAAAAATATGTTCTTGATCATGGAAGAACGAGAAGAAATGGCTTACTGGTCTGGGTACGAGTACTGTGGGAAGTTCTCCTTGAGAGCGTCGATCATCTCCTTGCAAAGCTTGGAGCATGCAATACAGATGTAGCGGCCAGAGGCGTTGGGATCCTCGTAGCCGGCAATGTGTGCCTCGGCAACATCTCGCACGTCCACTAGTCCAAAGTATGTGTTCGGGTAGCTGGTTTTCGAGCCTGCGCAAGAACAGAGTTTCCTTCTTTGTAAGAAGGAAGAAAAGTCTGTGCGTTGACATACCATTCATCAGAATTGCCACGAGTCCAACGCTGGCGTTGATCTTGGATTGCAAGATGGGGCCAAGCACCACAACCGGGCAGATGACAACAACATGGATCCCAAACTCGTCGCCAAGTTTGCTAACGAGCTTCTCCGACTCGGTTTTAGCAAGCCTGTACCAATCCTGGAAGAAAACTCGTGACAAGTTTAGAGGCTTTTGAAAACAAGATCCAGCGTTTTCTCTTCTTTTACCTCGTACTTTCGGCAGGCTTCAGGATCAGACCAGCAGCTCTCGTCGATGATTTGGTCTTGAGGGCGATTTGGATCAAAAATTATGGCAGCTCCAGAGGAGGTGAACACAACGCGCTTGATATTCTCCTTGTGGCAAGCTTCCATCACATTTCGAGTGCCATCCATGGCGGGTTTTAGCACAGCCTATTGACAGCAGTATGATCGATGACAACGAAAAAATCTCCCAAGAAAGAAGAAAAACTCACGTCTGGATCCTCAAACTTATGAGCAACGGGACAGGCGGTGTGGAAGACAACATCGCAGCCACGAACAGCGGGCACAAGCGACTCATAGTCGAGAACATCAGCTCTAAACAGCGATAATCTCTCCCCGGCGCCAGGGAGCTTCTTCAAATGTCCATACTTCTCATCATCGTCTAGAAATCCAAAGGAATCAAAAGCCAGGAATTATCAATCAATCCATCGCTCACCTGGATCCCGAACGGTGCCATGAACTTTGTAGCCTCGATCCAGCAGCTTGGCGACAATCCACGACGCAATGAAGCCACCGGCGCCTATCACGCAAGCTCTCTTCCCTCCCTCCATAGTCGCTCGCAAAGCACTACAGTGCTCATATGTTTCGTATATTTCACCCGGCCTCGTCCTTTGCCTTTTGTCTGAAGAGAAAAAGTCACAGTAGACGTCGATGCCAACTTCTAGGAACAGTACACGTTCCACTGTGCTTCTCAAGAGGACGTTTCAATCGCTGCATTGGCACTGCCACCACCATAGAATTTACGCGAAAACATTAAGTGGGCAAAAGTATCATCGGGGTGGCCGCCAGGATGTCAATCTGGCAGGGGCTGATGAGAGAGTATTTTGCAGATGATCTCCTGAATAATGGCAATTACTCTCCAAGCTAGCGCTGGGCTGGGAAGTGGCCCTGAAACACTAAATTTGCCAAAAGAGGGAATCTAAACCGATGCTAGCAAGTGCTTCCGGAGATGCCAAGACGCAGCATTGTGTCCTAAAACTTGCTGGCAAAATTCGTAGCAAAACCAATATATCGAGAGATTTAATGTAAATAAATCCAAAGAAAGATAGTGGAACGCGATGGTGTTTGCATATGCCTATTCCCGGTATCTTTTTTGAATCGTTGGCGATGTAAGATGCCATGACAAACGACTCCAGAGAGACGGGTCAAGCACACAAATCCGGAAGAAAAACCTCAATGCATATTTGTGATGAACAACGGGGAGCTTTCTTTATAATCTGTCAATGTCTTCTTTTGTGATAATAGCGATTCCTCGTCCTCGACAGCATCGAGCAGTTCCGCTATGTATAACATCGGGATGAATGAGTGCGGCGCTCACGAAGGTTTTCATAACACCACGCAAGTGGAGCGATCTAAACAGAGGCCACCGGTGCATCCGGGAGCTTAGAGATGCGGAAAACAGACGAACCGACATGCACTTTTTAATCCTGGAAGCGTTTGATCTCTCAGTTCGGATCTGGAAGTTTGTAGGACTTTTGAGCACTTCTTTAAGAGTGTTCAGAGCAAGCCTTTCTCTTGCAGGCTAACGACCGTGTCCACCAGCACCTTCTCGTAGGGGATGAACTCCTTGATGAGGGACAAGATCTTTTTGTTCGAGATCTTCTCGAATGAAATGCCAGGGGTTTCACCTTCACACCTGCAAAATAGAAAGAAAAATCTCGTAACCATATAAGAACCATAGGAATGGCTTACTTGTCTGGGTACGAGTATTGTGGGAAGTCCTCCTTGAGAGTCTCGATCATCTCCTTGCAATGCTTCGAGTACGCAACACAATAGTAGCGGGCAGAGGCGTTGGGATCCTCGTATCCGGCAATGTGCGCCTCGGCAACATCTCGCACGTCCACGAGAGGATAGTATGAGTTGGGGTAGCTAGTTTTCGAGCCTGCGCAAGAACAAAGCTTCCTTAAAAGAAAAAGAAAAAGAAAAAGCTGGTGTTACATACCATTCATCATATTTGCCAGGATTCCAACGCTAGAGTTGATCCTGGATTGCAAGATAGGGCCTAGAACCAGAACAGGGCAGATCGCAACAACACGAATTCCAAAATCGTCGCCAAGTTTGGCAACAAGCTTCTCCGACTCGGTTTTAGCAAGCATGTACCATTGCTGGAACAGAAATAGTTAGAAGTTCTTAAGCGTTTTCTCTTCCTTTACCTGGCTCTTTCGGCAGGACTCAGGATCAGACCAGCAGCACTCATCGATTATCTGATCTCGAGGTCGATTTGGATCAAATACCATGGCAGCTACAGAGGAGGTGAACACAACACGCTTGATATTCTCCTTGTGGCAAGCTTCCATTACATTTCGAGTGCCATCCACGGCAGGTTTTAACACAGCCTGTTAGTAGTACGATCGATGAGAAGAAGAAAATCTCCAAAACTTACGTCTGGATCCTCAAAGTTTGGAGCTACGGGACAAGCGGTGTGGAAGACAACATCGCAACCACGAACAGCGGGCACAAGCGACTCATAGTCGAGAACATCAGCTCTAAACAGCGATAATCTCTCCCCGGCGCCAGGGAGCTTGTTCAAATGCCCATTCTTCTCATCGTCGTCTAGAATCCAGCCAAAATGTGGCCAAGTATCGATAATGAATCCATTACTCACCTGGATCTCGAACGGTGCCATGAACTTTGTAGCCTCGATCCAGCAGCTTGGCGACGATCCATGACGCGATGAAGCCGCCGGCGCCTATCACGCAAGCTCTCCTCCCTCCCTCCATAATCTCAAAGCAGCCCTACAGTTAACTCTCATTTGTATATTGTGCTTGTCTTTTTCGTTTCGTCTGAAGAGAAAAAGTCACATTATACGTCGTTGATTTGGATCAAGTGGAATTCGTGCGGAAACATCAAGAAAACTTTGAGCGTGTGGGCAAAAGTTTTTTCCAGACTAGAAGTAGCCTTTGGAACGCTCAAGCTGCCCGTTCACCTAGAAAGAAAAGAAGAAACACGAATTCTTCGAGTATCTTATCCGAGAGGCGACGTCTCTTAGAGCGCTGACCTTCGTCGGGCGCTGGAAGACCGCGAGGATCATACGAATGCGGGTTCCCCAGAGGAAGAAAACATCGTAGCAGGCCATTTGTTGGAGCCTGATCACCGTCTCGATTTAAGGTGGGTGCACTACCAAGAGGAGATCGAAAAGAGATCTGTAGGGAAATTTTGGTTCAAAGCTTCTCTTTTTGAGGAGCACGAACTACAGAAAAGCTCTTTTGGGCACCATCGCAAAAGATTCAAACAAGATACCGGGGATGGGCATATGCAAACACCACTGCGTTCCACTGGGACACATTGCTGCGCTTTAGCAATTCCGGAAACAGTTGCTGGCATCGGTTTAGATTCCCTCTCTGGGCAGATTTAGTTTCTTCTGGCCATCTTGCCAATCTGGAGAGCGATCGCCGTATCCTCACTCTGTCTCACTCGGGCCAATGATTTAGATCCTGGCAGGAGTGGTTGCCATTGCGATGATAACACAGGACGATCGTCATGGATTTTAGCAAAGGTTGGTGTGGTTTTAAACCAGTTGATGGCGGAGCTAGCGCACTTACACAGCCGGGATCAGAAGGCGTGCTACAGTCTGCCGCAGTGAAGAAAGAAAAGGAGGAAGAGCTTGGCTTTGCCTCGATTCCTCGTATCAGCAAAGAGTTCCTCGACAGCATCGAGCAGTTCCACTACATCGACGTCGGGAGGAACGAGTGCGGCGGAGGACACTGTATCTTGGAAGAGATCGCAAAGGTTGCGAAGCTCCGGGACTCCGGCCTCACGGTTTTCTTGCACGGAACACGACGCCAGTGAGCGATCCAAACAGAGGGTGGATCTCCGCAGAGAAAGACCAGTGCATCCGGTGCCGGCAGCTTAGAGAAGCTGGAAGAAACTTTGCTGCTAATGAAAAACTCAGGGTGGAAAAACGTATTTTGCAGACGAAGAGCCGCCTCGATATGCACTTTTGAATCCTGGAAGTGTTTGACGGATCTGTAAGTAGCGAGAGTACCAGTGCTTGTAGGAGTTTTGAGCACGGCATTTAGAGCAAGCCTTTCTCTTGCAGGCTAGCGACCGTGTCCACCAGCATCTTCTCGTAGGGGATGAACTCCTTGATGAGGGACAGGATCTTTTTGTTTGAGAACTTCTCAAATAAATTCATGAACTTCTCGAATAAATCTCCTTCAGTTTCACACCTACAAAATAAAAAGAAGATATGTTTTTGATCATACAAGAACCAGAAGGAATGGCTTACTTTTCTGGGTACGAGTACTGTGGGAAGTTCTCCTTGAGAGTCTCGATCATCTCCTTGCAAAGCTTGGAGCATGCAATGCAGAAGTAGCGGCCAGAGGCGTTGGGATCCTCGTAGCCCGCAATGTGTGCCTCGGCAACATCTCGCACGTCCACTAGTGCAAAGTATATGTTCGGGTAGCTGGTTTTCGAGCCTGCGCAAGAACAAAGTTTCCTTCTGTACATTAAGAAAAATGAAGAAAAATTGTACGTTGACATACCATTCATCAAAGTTGCCACGAGTCCAACGCTGGCGTTGATCTTGGATTGCAAGATGGGGCCAAGCACCCAAACAGGGCAGATGACAACAACATGGATCCCAAACTCGTCGCCAAGTTTGCTAACGAGCTTCTCCGACTCGGTTTTAGCAAGCCTGTACCATTGCTGGAAGAAAAATCGTGATAGAAGTTTTTTAAAAGAATCTAGCGTTTTCTCTTCCTTTACCTGGTACTTTCGGCAGGCTTCAGGATCAGACCAGCAGCTCTCATCGATGATTTGATCTCGAGAGCGATTTGGATCGAAAATCATGGCAGCTCCAGAGGAGGTGAACACAACACGCTTGACATTCTCCTTGTGGCAAGCTTCCATCACATTTCGAGTGCCATCCATGGCGGGTTTTAACACAGCCTGTCACCAGTACCATCGATGAAAAGGAAAGAATCTCCAAGAGAAAAGAAAAACTCACGTCTGGATCCTCGAACTTATGGGCAACGGGACAAGCGGTGTGGAAGACAACATGGCAGCCACGAACAGCGGGCACAAGCGAGTCATAGTCGAGAACATCAGCTCTAAACAGTGATAATCTCTCGCTGGCGCCCGGGAGCTTCTTCAAATGCCCATACTTCTCATCGTCGTCTAGAACCAAAAGGAATCAAAAGGAATCAAAAGGAATCAAAAGTCAAAATGCGGCCAAGAATCGATCAATCCATCGCTTACCTGGATCTCGAACGGTGCCATGCACTGTGTAGCCTCGATCCAGCAGCTTGGCAACAATCCACGACGCAATGAAGCCACCAGCGCCAATCACGCAAGCTCTCTCCATACTCGCAAAAAAACCCCTACAGTACCTTCACTTCGAGAAGTGTTTGTTTTTCATAGGCATGGCAGCCACCGACATGGACGATTCCCACAGAGAAAATCATAGAACGTGGAAAAAGAAGAGCAATTTGATCCAAGATGATGAAGAATTTTATGGTGGCGGCTGTGATGGCGAGCTCTACACAGGTGAATTGATCGATCAAGGATCTTCAGCAAGGAGTTTAGAATGGAAAACTTGCACCTTACAATTTATATTATCAATAAGAACTTATGCCTCTATTCTCTATCTCTTCTTCGGGCATGGATTCACGTCTTGGATGGCGATCAAGTCACGGGATCTTTGGAAGGAAGGAGTAAATATTTTTTCATAGAGTGGAATTGGTTTATGTGGTTTCCAAAACAAACTAAGAATGTTTTCCGTTTAACCTACCTATAAAACGCTACAGTCATTTAGATTAATATTATGTTTATAAAATTATAAACACTAAGTATATTCTAGTTTATTTTACCATCTTTATACATTATATAAACACCAATTCTGGATTCACAAAATCCCTAGGAAGATAGACACTCCTTTCTGGTCACTATCATTCATGTGCTAAGGGAGAGTTTTGTTTCTTTTTTGGAGGGCATTGACATTTAAAACTAGTAGATCTAGTTTTAGTCAAATAAGTGAGAACACTCTCTCTAAAAATATAGTCATGATTGTGCTAATGGTATAATGGCCATAATGATTATGTGTCTCAACACGCTTGATATTCTCCTTGTGGCAAGCTTCCATTACATTTCGAGTGCCATCCACAGCAGGTTTTAACACAGCCTGTTAGCAGCACGATCGATGAGAAGAAGAAAATCTCCAAAACTTACGTCTGGATCCTCAAAGTTTGGAGCTACGGGACAAGCGGTGTGGAAGACAACATCGCAACCACGAACAGCGGGCACAAGCGACTCATAGTCGAGAACATCAGCTCTAAACAGCGATAATCTCTCCCCGACGCCAGGGAGCTTCTTCAAATGCCCATTCTTCTCATCGTCGTCTAGAATCCAGCCAAAATGTGGCCAAGTATCGATAATGAATACATTACTCACCTGGATCTCGAACGGTGCCATGAACTTTGTAGCCTCGATCCAGCAGCTTAGCGACGATCCATGACGCGATGAAGCCGCCGGCGCCTATCACGCAAGCTCTCCTCCCTCCCTCCATAATCGCAAAGCAGCCCTACAGTTAACTCTCATTTGTATATTGTGCTTGTCTTTTTCGTTTCGTCTGAAGAGAAAAAGTCACATTATACGTCGTTGATTTGGATCAAGCGGAATTCGTGCGGAAACATCAAGAAAACTTTGAGCGTGTGGGCAAAAGTTTTTTCCAGACTAGAAGTAGCCTTTGGAACGCTCAAGCTGCCCGTTCACCTAGAAAGAAAAGAAGAAACACGAATTCTTCGAGTATCTTATCCGAGAGGCGACGTCTCTTAGAGCGCTGACCTTCGTCGGGCGCTGGAAGACCGCGAGGATCATACGAATGCGGGTTCCCCAGAGGAAGAAAACATCGTAGCAGGCCATTGTTGGAGCATGATCACCGTCTCGATTTAAGGTGGGTGCACTACCAAGAGGAAATCGAAAGGAGACCTGTAGGGAAATTTTGGTTCAAAGCTTCTCTCTTTTGAGGAGCAAGCTCGAACTACAGAAAAGCTCTTTTGGGCACCATCGCGACAGATTCAAACAAGATACCGGGGATGGGCATATGCAAACACCACTGCGTTTCACTGGATCCTATCTTGCTTTAGAATTCTCCCTAGAAAATGTCTTGATGCATTGGTTTTGAAGTGTTGCATACATTTGTCATTGCTGCGCCTTGGCAATTCCGGAAACAGTTGCTGGCATCGGTTTAGATTCCCTCTCGGGCCATCTTGCCAATCTGGAGAGCGATCGCCATATCCTCACTCAGTCTCACTCGTGCCAATGATTTAGATCCTGGCAGGAGTGGTTGCCATTGCGATGATAACACAGGAGCAAAGGTTGGTGTGGTTTTAAACCAGTTGATGGCGGAGCTAGCGCACTTACACAGCCGGGATCAGAAGGCGTGAAGAAAGAAAAGGAGGAAGAGCTTGGCTTTGCCTCGATTCCTCGTATCAGCAAAGAGTTCCTCGAGCATCGAGCAGTTTCCACTACATCGACGTTGGGATGAGCGAGTGCGGCAGACGACAGTATCTTGGAAGAGATCGCAAAGGTTGCCAAGCTCCGGGACTCCGGCCTCACGGTTTTCTTGCACAGAACACCACGCCAGTGGAGCGATCCAAACAGAGGGTGGATCTCCGCGGAGAAAGACCAGTGCATCCCGCGCCGGCAGCTTAGAGAAGCTGGAAGAAACTTTGCTGCTAATGAAAAATTCAGGGTGGAAAAACGTATTTTGCAAACGAAGAGCCGCTGGAAGTGTTTGACGGATCTGTAGGTAGCGAGAGTACCAGTGCTTGTATGAGTTTTGAGCACGGCATTTAGAGCAAGCCTTTCTCTTGCAGGCTAGCGACCGTGTCCACCAGCATCTTCTCGTAGGGGATGAACTCCTTGATGAGGGACAGGATCTTCTTGTTCGAGAACTTCTCGAATAAATTCGAAAACTTCTCGAATAAATCTCCTCCAGTTTCACACCTACAAAATAAAAAGAAAATATGTTTTTGATCATACAAGAACCAGAAGGAATGGCTTACTTCTCTGGGTACGAGTACTGTGGGAAGTTCTCCTTGAGAGTCTCGATCATCTCCTTGCAGAGCTTCGAGCATGCAATGCAGAAGTAGCGGCCAGAGGCGTTGGGATCCTCGTAGCCCGCAATGTGTGCCTCGGCAACATCTCGCACGTCCACTAGCCCAAAGTATGTGTTCGGGTAGCTGGTTTTCGAGCCTGCGCAAGAACAAAGTTTCCTTCTTTATATGAAGAAAAAAGAAGAAAAATGAAGAAAAATTGTACGTTTATATACCATTCATCAGAGTTGCCACGAAACCAACGCTGGCGTTGATCTTGGATTGCAAGATGGGGCCAAGCACCACAACAGGGCAGATGACAACGACACGGATTCCAAACTCGTCGCCAAGTTTGCTAACGAGCTTCTCCGACTCGGTTTTAGCAAGCCTGTACCATTGCTGGAAGAAAAATCGTGATAGAAGTTTTTGAAAAGAATCTAGCGTCTTCTCTTCCTTTACCTGGTGCTTTCGGCAGGCTTCAGGATCAGACCAGCAGCTCTCATCGATGATTTGATCTCGAGAGCGATTTGGATCGAAAATCATGGCAGCTCCAGAGGAGGTGAACACAACACGCTTGATATTCTCCTTGTGGCAAGCTTCCATCACATTTCGAGTGCCATCCATGGCGGGTTTTAACACAGCCTGTCAGCAGTACCATCGATGAAAAGGAAAGAATCTCCAAGAGAAAAGAAAAACTCACGTCTGGATCCTCAAACTTATGGGCAACGGGACAAGCGGTGTGGAAGACAACATGGCAGCCACGAACAGCGGGCACAAGCGAGTCATAGTCGAGAACATCAGCTCTAAACAGTGATAATCTCTCGCTGGCGCCCGGGAGCTTCTTCAAATGCCCATACTTCTCATCGTCGTCTAGAACCAAAAGGAATCAAAAGGAATCAAAAGGAATCAAAAGTCAAAATGCGGCCAAGAATCGATCACCTGGATCTCGAACGGTGCCATGCACTGTGTAGCCTCGATCCAGCAGCTTGGCAACAATCCACGACGCAATGAAGCCACCAGCGCCAATCACGCAAGCTCTCTCCATACTCGCAAAAAAACCCCTACAGTACCTTCACTTCGAGAAGTGTTTGTTTTTCATAGGCATGGCAGCCACCGACATGGACGATTCCCACAGAGAAAATCATAGAACGTGGAAAAAGAAGAGCAATTTGATCCAAGATGATGAAGAATTTTGTGGTGGCGGCTGTGGTGGCGAGCTCTACACAGGTGAATTGATCGATCAAGGATCTTCAGCAAGGAGTTTAGAACGGAAAATTTGCACCTTACAATTATATTAGCAATGAGAACTTATGCCTCTATTCTCTATCTCTTCTCCGGGCATGGATGGCGATCAAGTCACGGGATCTTTGGAAGGAAGAAGTAAATATTTTTTCATAGAGTCGAATTGGTTTATGTGGTTTCCAAAACAAACTAAGAATGTTTTCCTTTTAACCTTAGTCATTTAGATTAATATTGTGTTTATAAAATTATAAACACTAAGTATATTCTAGTTTATTTTACCATCTTTATACATTATATAAACACCGGTCACTGTCATTCATGTGCTAAGAGAGAGTTTTTTTTCTTTTTTGGAGGGCATTAACATTTAAAACTAGTAGATCTAGTTTTAGTCAAATAGGTGAGAACACCCTCTCTAAAAATATGGTCATGATTGTGCTAATCGAGTGATATGTGAGCCAACATACTATGGAAGTTCATTACAAAATTTTATCACACTTTTTTAGTGGGCCATTGTTGTTGGTGTTAGAGGCAATCCAAAAGCTCAAGGGCCATAATGATTATGTTTCTCTATGTGGCAATAAGATAGTGATTTCTTGAACTCTTCTTCAAAGTCCTTATAGAATTGCATAAGGTAAAATTGACAAGCTTAAGAAATGAACAATAAATAGTTTTAGGTCAAATAATATGAGAATTCAAGCATTCTCTTTAGTAAACAAAATGATTTCAAACCTTTTTATTGTAGTATTAATTTCTATCATATTCTTGCAAATTTTGCTAATGCAAAATTATTCAAGTTTGCCTATATCTTATAATAATATATACTATTTAAAATATATAAGCAAGCCAAGTGTTGCTGGATTGGGAATGTATAGCATATTAAAATATTTTATTTTTGAATATTAGTTATTTTAGAAAATAAGTTAGCTCTTTGAGCTGTGACTATCTCAATAACTCTAACCACTTTCTTGGGTTTTACTCTCATGAGCTCATCAGCAAAAGGGAAGATGATAAAAAATTTGATAAAATACTAAATGTGAGTGCATAGAATATGGAAAGGGAATATAGAAATGTGCATATCAATTAGCCCAAAAACCCTAGTTTATATACAGGAGCTAGTGGTCCGGATTGAAACCAATCCGACAGTTACCAAAATCCCACTACGCTAATATTAGTATACGGCATTGTAGCCGTACACTTGGCCCTCACATCATCCCCTCCTCTCGGAATAATGGAAGGTCGTCAGGGTTCTTTTGTAGATGGGCCGGGATCTGGAGGAACATCAGGAGGAGGCATCGGCGGATTTGTAGACGGTATTAACTGCTCCTGATCCCTTTGTATGAAGCGTTTCAACCGCTACACATGCACAATCTCCAAAGGATCGGCCTGTTGAACGTCATGCCAAACCTCATAAACTTGCAGTCCAACTTGCTGCAACACCCAATATGGTCCTTTCCATTGCGCAAGGAGCCCCTTAGATAAACCACGTATCGTAAGATGGGGAAAATGGACTAACACCAAATCGTCCACTTTGTACTCTGCAGGTGGACGATGATGGGAGTTGTAACGCCATTGTTGTCCCACTTGTACGCGGCCTAAGTGTTCGGCAGACTCTGCTCGGACAAGTGGAAGAATGCTCGTCAAATATTGATCCCATGACCTAGCATTAGGAGCTCGTGGCAATCGCGAAGGTAAACTCAGCTCCGTTGGTAATATTGGATCATGACCATATAGAAGTTTATATGGTGAAGCACCAACAGAACTCTGCACCCTTGTGACATAAGCATACCGAAGAGACGGCAAATAACCATCCCAATCCGAATGCTGAAAGTTCACATACTTCGCAATCATCCCTTTGAATGTCCGAACGAACCGTTCCACTAAACCGTCTGATTGTGGATGATAAGCACTCGTAAAAGTGTGGCGTATCCCCAACCGAGACGTCAAAACATGAAATACCTCAGCTATAAATGCAGGACCATTATCCGAAAGAATCCGCTCTGGACAAGAATGCTGGAACACCACTCGATTGAGGAGGAAGTATCCAACAGCAGTTGCAGAGGTGCTAGCAAGAGCACCAACTTCCACCCAACAAGTCAAGTAGTCAGAAGCAATAATAACATATTCATTGCCAGCAGTCAATCGTGGAAAAGGTCCCATAAAATCAAACGCCACCAACTCAAACGGACGGGAAACTGCAATTGACTCCAACCTTCCTTCCGCAGCACAAAGGGGAGTATTACGA